GAGTAAAACAGAACAATAGACTGTAAGGCTCTACAAGCCTCGATACGCTGTTCAAAAGCATGGCAACATGATATTGCGCAATGCAACACAACGAGACCCAATAAACTCCTCTACAACCCCGCCAAAGAGCTGCGCTCACTCATCAACGCTTGGTGATCCAACTTACAGCTCCCGCAATATGTATCGTACCACTCCCGCAGCGCCTCCTTCTTGCCTTCGTCAATACTCGACGTCAAGACCTTCTGGCCACTGCCACCACCGCCGCGCTTACTCTTAGCAGAACCGCCATCCTCCTCCAAAACAGTCTTGAGCTTCTCGCACCGCATCGTCTCGTCAGAGAGCCAATTCTCCCACTCTGACTGCACCATCTCCCGCTCGATGCTGTTGACGATGCGCATCGCGACGAGGAGATCGTGTCGATACGATCCGAGACGCTGTCGGGTCCGGCGCAGCCGGCGCGCGGTCGCTCGGCTCGTCGCTGATGATAGCGTCGACCCGGCGTCTTCGTAGGGGCTGTCAAGGTCGGTGGCGTTGGCAACAAGTTGGAACGTAGTGAAGCTGTGATATCATGTTAGTCATCGTATCCCTGAATCCCAAACTGCCAATCGAGATTTACTTACCAGGCACTATCGGTAGGCCAACTGTTGTTATGGCCAACCGCACCCGTTGCCTCGCCCAGATCCGCCATGTAGATGGCCTTGCTCATCATCACGTTCGGGCCGACACCGAGCCGCGTCATAAACTTGGCTGCTCGCCTCTCCGTCCACCAGGTCGAGCTTTCTTTGGATGTCAAGGCAATGTTCGTGAACGCGCTGACGGCCAGGACAAGAAGGATGAGTCTATGAGCCGTGACCACGCTGAAGAAAGTCTTCACCACGGCGATGGCCCACATGATGAGCGACGTCACCGCACTCTCGCCAAAGGAGCGCAGCGTTTCCAGGAGCATGGCTGTCAGTGTCCGCGGCTTGATGAGCTGCTTCTTTGACGCGGCCGCGTCGGCCGGGGAAAAGACAACGACTTGCGTCTGTTGCCCAATGTTTCCGTACACCTGGATTGCCCTCTTGGTCCGGCTGTGTGGGCCAAGCTTGCGCACCTGGTCCGTCGCGACGTCTGCAAGCTCTTCCGCATCGCCCTCGGCGTCATTTAGGGCCTGACGCTCGACCAAGTTCTTCGAAAACGTGGGTATCTTGGACCATTCCACCTTTGTGTAGATGGCCAACTTACACTTTGACTTGGCCACGTGAGTGATGACAACCTTGGTCACCAACTTGAAGTCTTGAGAATGGGGAAGATGCCATGCCGTCTTGGTGTGTGTCACAACATACGTTACGTGTTCTTGGAAGACATCCATGGTCTGGTAGTCGACAACGTCCACGGTCTTTGGTCGACCGATCATATCCTTGTAGTCGAATTTGAACTGGAACTCTCGCCTCATTCGGCCATGATCTGCGAGCGCCCAGGGCCCTTGGGCGATCTGTTGAGCTCTCCGCTCAAAGTAGAGCTTGGGGAAGACAAAGCTCTTGTCGCCAAAGAGCACATGGAAGCAGGCCTTGGCACTAATCTCAAAGTGCCGCTCTGCAACCATTCTCTGCATGTCTTCGGGTTCGAAAATTACAGGATGAGCGGGTACCTGCACTTTGGGGGTCTGCCTCGAACCAGGCCCTGCTAAGCGGAGTCTTGGTCCAAACTGGCTCTGGCGCTTAGCCGGGCGCCCAGAATGCGTGCCGTCATCGAACGGCGTATTTGACGAGACCTCTTCCCAGCTTTCAATGCTTGGGCTACGTTTGCTGTAGTCCTCGTATTCCAGATTGATCAGTGCCCGAATGAGCTCTGGCAACTCCATCGGCTCCTCAGATTGTAAGTCGTCGATGAGAAGGTTCATTCTCGCATGAAGGAGCTGGAGATTATCCAGGAAAATCTTGATGGTGATTCTAGTGTAGCCCGTCTCATTGCCATCCTCACCGAGGTGAAGGAAAATGAAGTCGCATTCCTTACCGGGCGCAGCTGTGACCTCGGCTATTATGTCGAGACTGATGGCATATGCAACTACAAGGCCCATTTGTTGTCCATAAAAGTACATGTTGTCCGGAGTGATATAGATACGGCCGTTGCCCGCCAGCCCCTGGCCGTGAGAGGGTGAGTCCTTGCCTGTCGAGCTCGACCAGGCGGCGCGGAAAACGAGGACAAGCTTCTCGTCCAGTGGAGCATTCGGGAACAGAATCCGGAATTGGAGATGCTGGATTCTTAACTCTGGAGGGTATCCTGGAACAAAGGTCTCCACGGGCTGTCTGAATGGGGTGTGGGCTTGGCTGGGTTTTGCATCGACACTGACAGTCTTCCTGTGGCCAGTGGTAGGAGTTGGAGGCTTCTCTTCACCAGGCTTGCCCACCTCTCGGACTACTATTCCGAATGGATTTTCTTCCAGCAGGCCAGGGGTGCGAGGACGGCCTGGGCCAGACCCGTAGACAGTGCTCCAAGGGCTACTTCCCCAGTAGTTGGCGAGAACCGAAGTAGGCATGTGGCTCGTAGTGTCCGACCCTATACTTCTGTCGACTGAAAGCATCACAGCCGTTCGGCTGAGGTTTGTTGCTGCAGGTGGCCTTGCCAGCGTCAAAGGAGCCAAGGTTCCTTGAACTGGGTCCAGGGCAGGTAATCTTGAAGTGGACGAGTTCTTCGACCCAGCTTGTGGGGGGGAAGGGTATCCGGGAAGATGGCCGTGGCTTGCTATCAAGCCCGCGATGCCGCCAGCGCCGGGCGCACCGCCAGCAGCCCCCGCAGCTTCGGCACCCGCACCAAAGGTCGCTTTTCGGTGAAGATCTAGCTTCTGGATGATCCTCGCTGCATGATCGCGATTGCTTTCTCCCTCCTCACGCACCATCTCTCGGCCTAGGTCACGCCCAAGAGCAGTAATGGACCGACGCGGTGCACCAGCGTTTACGTCGAAGCTGGCACGGCCAGCCATGCTGCCGTCCGAACCAGGAACCGGAAGAGTGCCAGCCCGGTCAAAGCTACCGGAAGGCTCCTCGCCAGCCACGATGGCGTCCATGGACCTTGCTGAGAACTCGGGAAGTGGTGGCGGCGTGATGGAGAAAGCGGGATCGGCACCGGCGGGTGAAGAGGCGCTGTCTCTGTCCATGCTGGCCTCGAATGCGCTCTTCTTGGCCACCTCAAAGACCTCCAGCCACTCGGTCAGCTGGTTCTGAGTCTCTGCCTGAAGAACCAAGGTCTGGCTCTTTGTCTTGACTTCGAAGCAGAATCTGCGATCCTCGGCAACGGCAGGTTTGGCATTGCACAAAAGAACACCAATCTCGTCACCTTGCAGAACACCTTGGGGCCCATTGATCAGCCAGCCAAAAATACCTTCTCGGCAATAGTACCAACGACGGACCCAGTTCGACCTGGCTGGCTTGCCGTAAAGGGTCTTGAGGAAGAGCCAGCCCTGCTTCTCCGAGACAACGGCGGAACTTTCTTGTGGCTGGACGCTGACCGGGCCTCTGGACCCCAGGAACTGAACTGTGGACGCACTGTAATCCTCCAGCTCCCGGGATGGCTTGAATGCTTGCAGTGTGCTTTCGCCGATATCGCGGCGCGCAATTTGTAGTTCTCTCTTGAACACAAACTCTGTGGTTTCCATCTCACGAGACCAGCCACGGATGCGATCCATCTCGGAACCCCACTTTGTCGATACGGCAGCGGCGTCGCGCGACCGCTTCATTTCCTTCCAGAAGTCGGAGCTGACACGTACAAGCAACTTGTCCAGGCTAAAGCGAATCTGAGGCGCAAGCTGGCAGAAGTCCATGGAGACCTTGAGATATGCCTTGCGGGTCTCGTACACGGCGAACGCTTCCTCTCTGATAGCAGACGGCTCCTTTGTCTTTGACTGGCTCATGTACCGAGCCATGGCTTGATCAAAGTTCCTCTGGGTATGGTCCAGAACTCTCCTGACTTCCTTGAAAGAGCGCAGGTCGGCGGCGACGAAGGAGCGGATGGGGTCAACAGATATGGTGTCCATTTTCCGCACTGTTGACATAATCTGAGTCCACCATTCCTTTGAGCCATCGCTTATCCGGCGCAGAGCGAGAAGAGTGTAGTCGTGATCGACGATGGCATCGGCGGTCGCGGCGGGTGGGAAGATCTTGGACAGGTAGGTGTTGACGCTTTCTTCGAGGGCTAGGATGTCACGGGTGACGCGAGACGTAGACCTGACATAGTCGTCAAGCCATTTCTCGACATTGTCGATGTGCTCTCCGAAGTGCTGCGCAGTGGATCGGAAGGTAGGAGAATCGAGGGATGCCTCGTTGAGGCCGACGGGAATCGCAGGACTTGTTTGCTTTTGCGCCGTTGTTGCAGCAGCAGCCAAAGCGACAGACGCCGCGGGCTCAGCCATCGTATGTGCAAGGATCGACGATGGTCGTCGACGTCGTCGGAACGACTTGGGAGTCGTTGGTTCGGTCGGTCGGTCAAAGATATATCATCTGTATCTATGATGGGCGCTATGCATGCTCTACAGGTCCGGAAGGTAGGATTTCTTGTGTATTGGAGCGGAAGAATGCTGTGTCGCGAGTGGAAGTTGTAATGACGTCGGCGAAAGCCGCATTTGGGGAGTGCCACGGGTACAAGTTTTGGGAGGTGTGCTGTCAAAGTCAAGCCTCGCCTCGTCGTCTGGAAAATAGGCTGAGGCCCGGCGGTGGGGGAGCCAATGAAACCACTTTCGCTTCGCGCTTTAGCGTCCGCGTATACTGAGCAGTCCACTGTAGATTCGGCCGAGACCACCCCGCGATTCACTGAGACCAACCGCTAATGAGATTACCTCAGGCGGGGGGGGGGGGGGGGCTCACGGGGCCTTACAAGTTAGGTAATAGGGTAAGGTGCCTACGGATACACTTGGAGCCTTGGAGGAACGGGAAGGCAGTTAAGCTCAGCCCAACTTTCCTTTTACGGAAAAGAAATGGCCCAAGCTCCCTAAGGCGCGGAGTGCGTGCTCCTTCCCTCAATATTCCATGCCATTGACGGCCACTTCGTTCCTTCTATTCTACGGAGTACTGCGTACCTACCCGTACCTATCCTTCTTCCATGGGGAATTTGGAGACAGCAACTCATGGAACCTTTGGCTTTTCTCCAGGTCTCCGCCACTCTCCTGCAAAGTCTTGTCCATCGTCGTACGAATAAACAAGCTTCAAACATGGTTTGCGCCCTCCAAAGTCTCAATGCGATGCGTCTCGCATTGGCCAAAGAAGAAGAACAGTCTTTGCGGAAGTCGGCATCAGCCATGGCAACATCAAACATCATACCTAACACCCAACGAACTTATAGTTCACTTCATTCCTTACAGGCCACTTGGCATACAGAAGCTGAAGCAGACTTCATACGCCCGTCCGCCTCCATTATAGCCCGACAGACGAACGACTCAGGTCTGGCTTATGCTCGAATCGTCAAGTAGACAAGTTTTCTCTCAACGACAGGCTCATGCTTGGGTAATGTGTCGCCGGTTTCCTGCACCCGCTCGACGTCTGCCGCCCACCACGCTTGCAACCACACCAATCCCCGGATTATCTGCCGCGAGCGAACCTGGGCCATCTGGAGTACAGCTTATCCATTTGCCGTCGAGATCGAGTCATGGACGCAAGGACGCGACATGTCAATAGCTGTCGTCACGTATCTGACAAGGAGACAGCTGCCTCGCAAAACTCAACGAACTTAACCGGACCTCGCCATAGCTTGCCATGCAGACTGCACACGCATCTGCCCCGTCAAAATTACTCGAGCTTCTCTGTTCGAAACACGGGGCTATCACGACTGGTCGGGACGTCGTCGTTGCTACGACACGCATCCACGACAAGATTACAGTCCCTAGCCTAATCCCTATCCTATCCTATCCTGGCACCCCAGACACTGGTTCGTTTCTGCAACGGGCTCGACTGAGTGGGCTTTGTAGTGAAACATTGTTCCATCATCGGCGGGTGGGAGGAAACAACCATAATGGCATCATGTTGGCCACAAATGGAATGGATTGTCCCGTCGCCTACACTGGCACACTGGTCCCATTCGGAGCCGCGTGGCTGTCGACTCCGGACTGGACTGCTGGTGTCCTGTGCCCTTGGGGAGGTGGAGGGTCAGATCAATGCTAAAATCTCGGTCATGAGCGAGTCAACGTCGCCGTTTTTTTGCTCTCCCGCGGGCAGCACAGCCCCTCAGCCCCTCCCGTGTGGCATTTTCATGCACTACCGACGCTCGCCGCCCACTGACAAGCAATCGGCTTGAAGCGATCAGCGGGTCTTCTGCATTGGTAGCAGCACATTTCAGCTGCTCAAGGGGCGCAACGTACTCGCCCACGGGCCCCCCTTATTCGGTCTCTCGTTCAGGTACTGTGTAATAGGTCCCCTGAGTTCTGCGTCTAGTATGTACTAACAGACTGCTTTCCAGTAACTCACATGCTCCTTCTGTCGGCTTTGCCGGGGACCTCGCATTCCTCACGTTGCATTGGGTATTTCCAACGCCTTCGTCAACTCAACCTCTCCCTCCTTCACCAGCCTCCCGGTTCCTGCGCCACACGCGGATCTCCCAGGGTGGGGGAGCACTCGCTGCACCGTTTCTCCTCAGACCGGCAGTCCCTGTTCTTTTTTTGGATACACGCACTTTCGGAACCTCGAGATCTGGGGAAATCCCATGGAGGACGATCGTCAATTTTCAGGGTTGCCAAATTTTCACCTCACCCCACGAGACAGCTACGCAATCGAATTGATCTCGCGTTGACGTGTACGAATACGTCTTCATGTCTTGCTCGCCAGTACATCAGCTGGTGATGATACGTGAGCAAAATACGGCAGCTGTCGATACCCATCCTCCACTTAGGCACGGGCACGATAGCTGGTGGCGACTATTGGCACAATCCCCGTTGGCTTCAAGACCAGGCATGCCCTGCGCAGGAAACCTGTCCAAAACGAACCGTCCCGCTCACCTGTGGTATTGAGCTCAAGGCTCAAGCTTGCCATGCTATTTTCGATCCAGCCTGAATCACTAGACAGATCCATGGATTTTTGCAAGATTTTCACTCAAGCGAATGTCGTCCCACTGGCGTCTGACGACAAATGATGCAGTAGGGATTACCCTGAAGAAGGGCAGTTACATGCGCAGCAGTCTGCAATGGAAACGAATAGCAGACGAAATATGCCTTTCTGCAGGAGGTTGATACAGTCTCTCTGAACATTCAACTTATTTCCCCGTGCTCCGCCAAAGCCATAGGATCTCCTCCCGCACAACCGTGCGGCAAAGCAAGATTTGCGGGTCGCCGGCCCAGCCACTGGGGTAGGGATCTGCCGTTGAGTGTGGCGACACCAGAAACAACACAGCCTGTGAAGCTTGGCTTGGTGCTACCTTGGATGAAAATTCCGGGTCCGAAACCCCCTTCTCTTGGATGACGGGATAATACTGAAGTGTCCTGTATGGATTGCAATAGCCTTGAAAAAGACAGGTTTTACACTCACTGCTGGGAAACTCCATGTGACTCAGGTCAAGTGACGATAGTAGCGGTCACGAGCAGCCAACGGGTACTGGCTGGTGTCAAACCAGCCACCCGAGGTGCGGCAAACAACGGCGGAGCCGCCTGCATCGACGACAGGCGAAGGCCGCGGGGGCCAAAAATAGGTAGTCAGCAGACCTATCCGTACCTACAACTTGCCGCGACGGCACAGAAGCCGACTTCTGCCGACTTTGCTGCGAGAGAGACTCCACTGCGTCCGCTTGTTCGACTCCACGATGGCCCGTTCTGTTGCCTTCTGCCGCGTCTATGGCCGGACAGCCGCCGCTCTCTCACTGTTCTCAGACTCCCAAGCGAGCTTTCACATCCGTCTAGGGTGTCATTGCAAATCCACACTGTCTCTCCCTGCGATGCCGACACCGGGTCGCAGTACAGCCAGCTTCCGCCTGTATGGGAATGTGGAATTTGGCAGGGAACCACGTATTCGGATCTGTTTGCAAACGAATCCATTTTGCCACAATACCAATATGTCATGGTTCAATATTCCGTTCACAACGACATGGTATCCAGGTTTTTTGCTTGCTTTCTGGACATGTCTCTGGGCGATTACCCCCTTGTTTGAGTCAACAGCAACTGGTTAGGCATTTTGGCAACTCGATTGGACGGCAGATTGATTGTGATAGATCTCAATCCGCTTCTGGAGAGGTTCGAGAACGGTTGTTCCTGCAACCGGGCACTCACGAACGGGGCAGGCCATTTCCCAATCTGGTAATCTTGGTATGTAACGTCTCCTGATGACCATGACCTTGCTCATCCGCCTGTCCCCTGAACTGGCGCCAAAGTCGTTGCGCCATTAACGCGGCCATTATTGCTCAGCAAGCTTCCGCTGCGTCCTTCAGGAGTCAAGGGGAAGTTCCTAGGAGCGTTTGGACTCCAACCGTCTCTCCTCATGATGGACCTCTTGGACATTTCGCTCATGATTGGTCTAATATCAAGCCAGAATTTGAGTATTTTTGCCAATCACGATGAAATCACTCGGCCTTTTCCCGTCCAGGCCCACATAGCCCGAATCTGGCCGTCAGCTCAATAGCCAATGAGGCACCAGAAGCCAGCTTTTTCCCAACCACACCTCAGCTCACCTCGGCCGCTAGCAAGGACTACAACCTTGCAAAAAGCCATCTACAGGCTGTCATTGCTCGACGTTTACACCCTCGAGTCCTCGACCACCCTTTCTATATCTCCACAACGATGTTGGATCCCGTTCCATTAGGACGGACCAACTCCCATCGGCTCGGCGGCGATGCGAAGTTCAGAAGGGAGGAGGGCAATCCCACGCTTCCGGAAACGCTCTATACGCCAGTTCTCAGACGGAATAGCAACGCTGCCATTGCGGTACGCCGCGCCATCTGGTTTGATATCGCTGTCCAAGGCGGAGCCCGGCCGGGACTGTAGGCGGTTCAATTTAGTGTTGTTTCCTCTAGCGGTTCTTCCTTTGGCTTCTTTGGCCGCTCCAATCATGGTCATGCCCTGAGTCTCGTGAAAGTCGAGCCGGCCCAACAACTGCGACCCTATTCTCCAAGGAGGTCTAAGTTGCATATGGAGAAGCCCAGTCGTAGTCACATACAATGCTATGCGGGCTATTGGGTCTACCCGCCGTCGCGGCCGCGCCTGCGTCGTTTCAAAGGCGATCTGCTGCTAGAACCTACATGATGCAGGGCGAGACGCAGAAGTGTCCTCAGGCACATGCAAGTCATAAAGGTACTAATAATTGGTAGAAAGTGAGAAGCAGCGTCTGAACCACACGACTGGCCAAGACAGACAGGCCATTTTATGACGATTATCAGAAGACGCCTCATTCATCTCCGATGAGGTCTCAGCAAGGCCAAAGCAAGATTGACCATCACTAACGACCTCTATCGCCATGGCTGTCTTGGCCATGGCGTTGGCTCTGTGGGCTTGTCGAATGTAGTCATGCCTTATCCCTGGTCTAACTAACAAGATACGAGCCACGGTCTTCGGATCGTCAAAGGTGGACAGATACAGTCAGGTGCATAAGGGCAACCTCCTGACGGAACCTCTGGATAGTTTCCTAGCGTCAGACGAGTCGACATAGGCAGCTCGAATTTCTCACGCCTGCATGATTCAGTACTACCCATCCTAGGTAGCAAAAGGTCTGGACCTGCGCAGGCTGGTGTGCCCTTGAGCATGATATCACAAATGTATTCCAATCACGGCAGCCCTCGCGATGATTGTACGCCGAAGGCTATACGCAAGCAGATCTGATACCTCGCAAAAAGAGCAAGGTGCATGATCAAGGAACATGCGAGCAGGTGAAAGATCACGATGAGTAACATTTGCAATATGATATATCGAAAATTGCTTATAGTGAGAAGGCCCGGCTCGGATGGTTTGAAATGACCGCGGAAGCGATCTAGACGGCCCCGGTGCAGACCCTGCGAAAGGTTGACCCGATCATGGGCACTTGTCAGACGAAGTGCTACATGGACCGTAGACGTCGAGGCTACGGCTCAGTCATACTTTCGTTCACCCCACTTCACTGAGCATCGGTTTGGGAAGAAACTGGCAGCTCTTCAACCAGGACGCACCCTGCATCTCAGCAGCCAGGGGTACGCTTTTCACAAGATACATGTGAAAGGAGGCGCTTGGGGTTGGTGGGTGCCGGCAAGCAAGGGTAGGCATTCTTTGAGACAGAAACATTCCTGACAAGCAGTGACAAGTCCCGATTGTTTCTTTTCTGTCAATCGGCTGTCCGGGAACTTAGGCAGTTGGGTTTGCGGCTTGTGCGACGGCAACGACAAGTCGGAGGTGTCTCTTGTCGGGCCTGTCTCTAGCCGGAGAGACACGGATTCAGATTCAAAATTCAGACTTTATGCGGACGAGTTTCTCGTGGGATTTATCAAATCAAGACAATTGGCCGTGGACTTTTGCGAACGCAACGGAGTACAGAGAGGGGGAAAGTACCGACCTGGTGAGAAGATACCAGTGGACCTCCATGGTATCCGTACAGTACTTCAACGACACACTCTTTTCAGTACGAGGGTACTTGGCCCGAGGGTGGCGGCAACCTGCGATTACAGGACTAGAACAACAGGCCCAGGAGCCCGGATTCCCTGTGTGTCCTCGATCGGCAAACAAAGGAATCTCAGGCAACAGATGCACCGCACAACGTATTCGTACGGAACGAGATATACAGGAAGCAAGATGCGGCTACCACGACGACTTACCTGCCTTGTCTGGAATGTGGACGGACGGCGTAGGAGGGTTGGTAACAAGGGTCGAGTTTAGGCTGCTTTTGCTGTCCCATACTTTCTTGTTGTTCGCACAGGCCACGGAGCTCAAGGACTAGGACAGCTTGCCTACTAGTGGGAACGCAACCCATGCGGACAGGTGTTCAAGCAAGAGGTCCGCCTGAAATGCCAGCTCGGGAGGCCACCTCGCGACCACATCACCGTATTTCACTTGGGTATGACGTCCGAGTCTCTTGATTACCTGAGGCACGCGATCTCTCGCCTTCCCTCGCCTTGCGAAAGACCTCTGTGGCGTGTACGAGGACGCGAAGCCTCTGAACGGGCCACGGACGACACCGACAAGTCACAGGTGCCTTATGCAGACCTGTGGAGAGGTACACACGGACACTGGACTGAAAAGAACGGACCAAGAATTCGGATTGGGATGGCTTCCACAGGTTCTTACAGAAGGCGGAGAGAAGTTGGAAGGGCGGCGATGGCTACAAGTGACCTTAGTCGGGCATGGCATGGCATGGCATGGCAGCACGGCCAGGCCTACGCTTGCATCTGCACTGACATCGGTCATTCTCAGCTCGCTGCTGGGGATTTTGGGCTCTTTTGCGGGATCCGACGGTTCCCATTCGCCTGACCTCTCGGGTTCTGTCATTGAGCATATGCAGGTCGCAGCACAGCCCTGATCTTGTACGGCGGTCCCTACTATAATTTCTGGGGACCTTTTTTCGCCCTCCGTCAGTCTCTTCGCAAGTTTTTCGCCGCCGCCGCGCCGCCGTCGCTTTCGCTCGCTCGCTTCATGCAGAAGCGCATGCGCTGCGCAGCGCAGCTCGGCACGTAGTTTGTACAGACTACAGAGATCGGATACTCTTCTTTTTTTCCCACCCGTCTCTGAACCTTTTTTTAGAGTCTACATCGGTTCGGATCCAGAAAAAGCGAAAAGATTTACACTTTACTTCGCTGCTCATTGCCGTCAACCGAATCTGCCGCGATTTTCTGAACCGGGATCGGGGCCGAAGGAGGGTGGACGGCAAATTAGAGGGAGCAACCTATGCCCAATTCTTTTCACTATACTTTGGTTTACGGATATTTTGCCTGGGACATACTGTATCAGTACGGGCCCCGAATCGATGCCGCAGTCTGTTCTGACCCAAAGACAGATCTACCAGAGCGTTTTGCGCCGTCTCCGGTGCCCCGTACCTAAGCCCATAGGAATCGCTCGTTTGCCTGTTTTTCGCCTTACCACGCCCGACCTAAGCAAGCCTTACCCGGGGGTCGAATGGATTGCCGAGCCTGGTTGTTCGTTGCGCTTTGTCACCTCTTCGCATCGTGTTGGCGCAACCTCGAGATTGTTGGAAGGATCTTCAAGACTTATCCCAGACTTTCTCTAGGTCGTCTTTGGAGGTTGTATTCCACAGCGTTGGGCCTATAGCGAAATGTGGCGCAGATGCAAAAGACGACGCACGCCTCAGACAACGCTTTTCAGAAGCCACGCTCTCTAAAGTTTGGAGAGTCTAAACCAAGATGGGAAACATATGTTTGTAAAATCTTGACCCAAGAGGAATAGCGCGAAAAGACAAAAACCACTCGAAGTCATTTTGTCGCTCGTAACGTTCCGACTCAACGGGCAGTCTGCCACCTCGCCTCAGTCAGCGGCACTTCACCACCACCAGCCAACATGACAACGTTTGGTTACATCGCTTTCACAACTCTCATAGAAGGGTGTTGCCAAAGGCGGCAGAGTAAAAACTAAAGACTGAAGGGGGGAGGGGGAAATGTGCTGGCCCAAGCTTGCGGCGCACGCAGGGGACGGCATCCGAAGCATTCAGGGAATTCCTGGCTTGCCCCAGGCCACCTAGCCTAAGCTTGCCAACCTGCCAAACCTTGCTTCGGCTCACTAAGCTGTGTGGCTGCTTAGTTTATTGTGTACACGGGCACTCTGCAACTTGACATGGCCAGACTCACGACATCCGTGCAAACGCCAAATAGTGGGAGGGAGGTGTGGTGTGTAGCTACCTCCTTGGCCCATGTACGTTACTTAGGGCCTGTCCGGAGCGGGAGTTACTGAGCCGAGGTGGGCTGGAAACTCACTACTGCGTTGTGAGGCCAAACGAATTTGGTTGACATGTTGGCAAAAGAAGATGAAGAGCGCATGAGTGGAATGGCGATGGCGAACGGACTGAACTCGAGAGGCCAACGACCAGCGCAGGTCCATGTTCGTTGGAGTCCTCCCATCGACCGACTTTGACGTGTCCTATTACTGGATATCGTTACTAGATCCGCCACGGGCTAGGATGCTCTACGAATATGCAGGTTGGCATGAAGAGGACGAGCATCAACGGCCCCAACGCCAACGCCAACCACGAAGCCAGCAAGCCTTGGTCTCCAGCTTCCAGCTCCCCCCGGCCGCCGCCGCCGGCCCTCAGCTCCATAGTATATCCGGTCATGGAGGGAACAGGGCCCCGTTGGGAGAGGAGAGGGAGAGGAGAGGGAGCAAGATGCATGGAGATCCGGGTGAGGCGAGGAGGAGACCTGGAAGCCGGCCCAAGATGCATGCACCGCGCACCGAGGCTACCTTAACCTGAGGCCTACTTGCGTAGCTACCTATATCCGTACGGATACAGAAAGAGCCAGTCATTCAGAGTACCTGATGCCTAGGGCCTGTCCTTGGATCAGACGCAAGTACGGTACTGGTCCATGGCTACCTTATACATGTACCTCTAGGAGGCGCCTACCTACTGTGTATAGCAAGTAGTCCCCGGCGCCATAGGAAGATCCGATGCTACTGCACAGCGCGCTGCGCTGCCCCCGCCGGCGTGCATCATCCAAGGATGATGGATTTTCTGCCTTCCTGTCTCTGCCAGCTAGATACCAATTGTGGTAGTGTATTTTGAACTCGAAGCTCTAGGTTCTATGTAAGATCCGGAGCCTGAGAGATCTGGGTCTGACTCTCTGGTTCTGGCTCTCTCTTTCTCTCTCCACTTGATCCTCAACTCGTACGGGGTGCAAAGAGCGAGGAGCAGGGAGTAGCTAGTGACAAGTTCGTAGTGGAGGTAACCTGCCACACCCCTCCACTCCCCCCCCCCCCTCCCTCTCTGCTTGCGCCCTCTTCCCGCCTCCTGGACCATGGACCATGGGGACCGCCTGCCGAAAGCCCACCGGGCTGGTCGAGGCGAATGGGGAAGAGAGGGTACCAGTAGTCACCCAATACCTTTTTTTTTTCCCTTTGGGGTGGGCGGGAGTGAGGTGCGCAAGGTGCAAAAAGAGAAGCAGTACCAATACTCCGTAGCGGGACAAGATCTAATGGGGAAAAGACTCACTTTTGTGTACCCTGGTACTTGACCTAACCGCCAGACGCACCCCTGTCCCACGCATAAGTCCAAGTCCTCGGGTACTCGTCACCTCACCGTACCGCAGCCGCAGGAAGCACCACACCGGATGGGAGCGAGTTTACCACCCAACTCGTACCCCCATGACAGGCCTTGACTGCGCTGAACAGCAGTGAACACGACTGGGCAAGGAAGGTTGGCCGCAGGCTCTTTCTCTCCAAGCCCCAGCCGGGCCCCAGGGCTGTCTCTTTCTCGGGCGATTATAACACCCCACCACCCTCGCACCACATCCTGTCTCTTCTCACCCTCCCTCTTCCTCTTCACGAGCTCTTCGTCTGCCTTCTTCTTCTTCTTATTCGCGGTAGCAGGCGTGCAAGCCAAATATCCCTTGTTATCCTCCCGGAATCCTTGGGACCGCCCAGCTCCGTCATCACTTGTTTCCTTTATTACTTCATTTTCCCTCCCCCGTCTATCCTCCCCCTCCCCCACCCCGCTGTTCTCGAGGTGTCTATCAAGATTCAAGATCAACAAGAATACCGTCCAAGATATCAAACACCCAAAAGACCCTCCCCTATTCGAGACTTATCCTTGACGACCACAACGACGACAACGATAACGACCAAACCGCCTCTTTTTTTGTCATATCTCACGCCAACTGATCCTCCCCGTTCCTCCTCCGGTCACAGACTCTCCTCCATCCTCCACTCCAGATATCCCCGCCATCAACATGCCTGTTCAACTGCTACCAGCCTCTGCGGCTGCTTTCGCCCCGAGAGCCTCATCCGTCAACGTCGTGCTGGGATCCAAGGTCGAGCCGTGGTTGACACAGACACTGAAGCGCATCAACCGGATCAAGCGTCCACTCAACAGCGTCCCTCAACATCAAAGATGTCTGACCGAGACACTTTCATCGCCCAACGCCATCTGGACTCTCACTTCCATCATGCTCCCCAAGGCCCCGGAATCCGACTTGCGCCAGGATGAGAACCCTCTCGTCGAGGCCCTGTTCAACTACCAGCTTCTCCACATCGAGGCCTACATTGTCCACGTCGACATGGTCCTGCGCAACGAGGTCGCTTTCAAGCTCACCACCGACTCAATAGACGCCTTGGTCGAGTACCACAAGGAAATTCACTGCGTCGACAGCAAGGCCAACACCTATGACTGGTCTGAGAAGGACCAACAGTGCAAGAAGCTGCATGAGGATTTCGTCCAAGCCATCAACAAGTTTGTCTACCGCACACATGTCACTGCCTTGGAAGGGCTCGAGGAAGAAGGCGCTGGTGAGCTGCTCTCTGGTAAGAGCGAGGAGGTCAAGAACAACATCATGGGCCTCATGAAGCCCTTGCTGCCTCCTCCTCCCCGTGTTGTCGATGTCATCAGACAACCACCTCTGCTCCCCAGCTCACCCGCCAACGCCAGCATCTGGTCGCAACCCCCTACGCCGGCCAGCCTAGTCGCCGTCGATGCGTGGAGAGTCCTGCCATCAAGTCCGAGCATTGCTTCCACATCTCAGGAGTCAACGCCAATCTGGGCCAACATTGGCATGAGCGAGGTTCAGATCCCCTCCCCTACGCCTGCATACAGCCAACCTTTCTCCACCGCCGGGTTCTACTACAGTGCACCAGCAATCACGGCGCCCATCCCAGCGTTGCCTCTCCCCAGCATGTTCACGCCTCAATGTGGTGTGAGCGTCGGCTACGGTGGCTTCGGCTGGGATCGCTACCAGGAGTACACGACGACGATGTGACAACCAGAATCCGTTGCATCTGAGACTTACCCTGTCGTGACGACCTCATAAGCATTGCCAGGCACGATGGTCCCATGTTTCCCGGAGAAAAGTCGAATTCTTCTCGGTCTGCTCGGCATAGAATCATCCACAGGCATATCGGCGTTTTGCATCAGCAGGGGAGCGAACGGTGTTACGGGACTCGCGAGACAACCAAACAAAAAAGATATAATTGGGGGTTTTTTCTTTTGTCGGCAGCAAGCGAGCGTATGATTTTTTCACAGTCTTTTCGATATCCGGGGAACAACAACCACCACCACTCACTCTGCCGCAAGCTCGGTCACCTTTCATTCGAATCATCTCATCATGGCTGGGTCCGGGGCGGGCATTTGAGTGCATTTACATTTGGGTTGGGGGTTTTTTCGAACATATAGGCGGCCTGTTCTCTTTTCCCCTTTCTCTACTATTTCCTTTGGGTCTTCTCTCATCTACACAAGAGGAACACGCAGCAATGCAAAACCCCCCCCCGCTCGGCTCCAGGCCTGGAGCCCGAGACAGAAGAAACCGACAGCCTTTCATTCTCGATTCCCCCGTTTTGGATTTCTATTTTTTCTGGTCCTATTTTCTTGCTTGGTTTAAGAGGCTTTCTTAGAGATACCCCCATCGGCATTACACTGGATCGGAAGATACCAACAGCTGCGCATTTTGCTTTCTTTTCCTTTCCTTGGGCTTGGGTTCTTGTCTTACGGATGATTCATGACAACCATTTCACGACCAATGACGAATATTCACGACTGCGCGCTCAACGATACGAATCAAGACGACGTTGCTCCAGGCTTGATGCCACGACATACGATTTTCTTGGTTTTCTTCGCTTCGCACAGGCTATCGAATTGCAGTTACAGCAAAAGGCTTGCAAACCGGACCGGATCCAATAATAGCAACGCTTCTTTGCGAAAGGTCGATAAACCCAAACAACAATCATCGCGTAGCTGAGACATGGTTGTATCAGGGATGCAACTGTCAAGGCAGACACTGGCATGTCGACAAGATCTTTGGCTTCAGCCGTCCCCTCGAGGCTCATCGCGGCGCCAAAGGGAGACGGCTGGCATGGAAATGGAGGAGAGATGGGACTCGAATCAACAGAATAAAAGAAGCTGGGCATCGCAGAAAGAACCATCTTGCTGGGCAAGATACGATGCAGAGACCTCTGGCCACAGTCTTGGAACCTCTGCTATCACACTCACGAAAATCCCCGCTCGACTTACATGGGCGCGAACGAACCCAAATCAGGCCATGCTGATTACCCCACCTGGACACAAGTACGACACTACGGAAACCTGCGAGTCGGGACTGGATGTGAACGGAACGTTGTTACCGGGCTGGGGGTCATTGTATGGAACCTGGGGAAGGGGGGTCGCGCCCGTGGCAGCTTCGAGGAGGGGGGAACGTGAGCAAGGGGCAGGGAGGAAGAGGCGACGTGTAGCTCGCCCTCCTGCATGAGAGACCCCGCCGTCGCCGAAGAAGATTCGGAGAAGCATTAAATTGCTTGGGCGAGGGATCAAGAGTCGCGTGGGAACACAAGCCGGGTTTCTGGATCTGCTGTGCAGGTCAGATAACCTTGACTTGGCCGTTTCTCAAGCGGCAGAGGGTGCAGGAAACCCTTTTTTTCTTTTTTAGCAAGGGGGGAATATCATGAGCGACCTTTGGCAAACCCTGGAGGTTTTTTGGCCCGGGTCTGGCTTACACGCAGCTCAAGTGTGATTTTGCATTTTACGCTATTAGTTAATTCGAACAAAATTCTGTTCACCAACATGTGTCTCGCGTGTCTCTTTCCCCTCGTGCATAAGTGACTTTTTTTTCAAAAAAAATTCCAAGAAAAAAATTCTGTTCCCTTCACTCATTTACCCCAAGTGTGGAGGTCAACGAGCAGGCATGTGGGTTGTGCCAGCTGAGGTTGAGATGTTGGAAGAGAGCATTTTTACATCAAGTACCTAAGCGTAAGGAATAAGTAATTGAGCCGGCGAAACCCTGATGTTGAGGGTTGAGGGGGACCTTGAGATGCTGGGTTGATGGGCGTGATGGGGGGGGGGAACAGAGTTGGGACGCTCGCATGTTCACGCACTTTTGGGAAAGAAACAGGAAAAAGATCTGCCCCTCCATCTTGAGGTTTTCTTTCGTTTTTCAGCTTCACCTCAGTAAGGGGAGAGGATAGTGGAGGGGAGGGGAAAAGGGTGGTGTCGAGTGTGGGTGTGCTTATCCCCTTTGAAAAACAAGCCCCCGCGTTTCTACCTTTCTACGTTTCTGCATGTTTCTCTATTTTGGGTATCAAGTTTCGACAGGACCGTCCATCCCGGTCTTGGGGAAGCAGTACTATCTACATAGTAGACCCGTGAAATCTGACAAGCACAGCTCGGCTGCGGCAGGGAGTCGAGGGGAAGGGCTGGATAGGAACCCAAGGCGCATAAAGTCGGGCAGATAAAGTGCCAGTTTGGGCAGCCTCGAAAACCAAAGCCAACATCAAAAAAGATACAAAAGGTTTTTGAAGGGTCCAGGACCAGGTTCGGACGGGTTGACGATGGTCCTTGAGGTTTTTCCTTTTCCTTCTTCTTAAAGTCAGCGCTGTGCATCCAACGCATAACTCGGCAAAGACACTTACACCTTTGAAAGTTCGTCACTTTAAGGGGCAAGCTGTTTCTAATGGTCTCCAAGATCGTTGTTCGCGAGAGCGACTGGTCCTCAGCTGAAAGCGTCTTCGGAGCTGGCAGTTGACTATATTGGATTTTAGTATTGTTCTAGAGGCAACAACAGAAAAGCTACCCCTAGAGACGTTTGGTACAGATTACCTGCTCAGAATGCTGTCCATCCTCTTTGGTCTCGGGGCAGAAGCTGCGGCAAGGCAAAGATGAGAACCAACCCTATCGAGACAATGTAATATTCATGATTTGGCGCGCGATAGAAATCGACTTCTGGACTTCCCACACCTGTCTAGATCAGCCAACTCTTTTTAGACAAGGGCGAGAGCAAGAATCTTACAAAAAAGTGAGCTTGTCCAAAGACTGGGCGGCATTGAGCGGGAAGTTCTAGAAGGCGGGGGTTTCTAGGGACGATCAGCGGGTATCACTGATCACTGCGTCTAAGCGTTTGCCGGTGGGCACACAAAGTGATCAACCATCCTGGTCTGGCCGCTGTCGGTCAGTTGTCGCACGCCCAGCTTACACATGTCCACCCCCTACGTGGACCACACCACCACCATGCTTCTCGGAACACGGTCCAGCTCCCAAGTCGGCCCTTTGCTGGCAGGCAGACGCTCGCACGGACGGGGAACGTCTGAACGTCGGGGGAATTATTGTTCTGTCGGATGTCGACAGGCGAGACAGGTGTAACGGGCGGCCAGATGGGTTCAACCGGTCCCGGGGAACGGAGAAATAGAAGCAAGGGAACTTTGGCACGGTTTCAACCATGGCATTCGGCTCTCTGGTTACGACACGCAAGAGTTTCGCTATTGAGACGGCGTTAAAAGCGAGCACGCGATAGAAGGAAAAGGGGCAAAGGGGGGAGAGGCCTAATTCGCGGTGTCTCGAGCTCGGCTACTCAGCTGAAATAAGGTGGGCGTTTGGAAACGGCATTCTCTCTGGTTATTTGAGATATAAGATTCGTGTTGGCATCTATCATGTTTTGGGATGCAGGTGGTGCTGACGGGTGCTGGGGATGGTGCCATCCGCCGCTGCTGAGTTGTTTGAGGCTTCACGGAAGGAAGAGTTACGCGTCCCCGTTGGAATACTGCGCTGAGTGAGAAAATTGAAAGAGGTTGCATGTTGAATACAAAGTGTCGCAGTCGGTAGGTTGTTTAGGGGGTGGCAGATTTCAGGCTGAAAGTCTCCTACTTGAGAGATCGTGGGAGTTGGGCATTTGACTTTGCTTGTCAACTAAGTGTCGACAAGAGAATGTTGCAGCTTGGCGACTCTAAGCTCGCGACGCATGAAGAGTTGCATGGGGTTGACAGCTCCGATGCATAAAGAGGGGACATTTTGCTCCGCGCTTGATACGAAGCAAAACTGCTCTTGCCCTTCGCTGTTTCGCCGTTTTGCTTTTCCTCTTGTGCGGAATGTCTATGCCGACAACGAGAACTTACACTGGCCCGGAAGTGGAATCCTCGAAAGCTGAGTTTGGCGGGCCAAGTCTAGTTTCTTCGCAGTAGCAACGTTCCATGTCACAACCCTTGGTCGGCATTCGGAGACGGAGGGAAGAGAGGGGGGACGGGAAGGAAAGTCAAGGTGATGCTGAACTGACTTGATAGGATCAACCCAGAAGATCAACGACAGCCATAGACAGGCAGGGAGGGTGTGGCTTGCTACTTACAGCTCGCAGGGATGCGAGCCTGAGTTGCGGCTGAGTCGCCCAAAGAGGATGGTGGGGTGTTATGGCGGGCAGGCCATCTTGCTTGCTGTCCGTGCAAAAATACGTGCTCTCCCGACAAAACTTTCGTTCTCGATGAGCAGTCAAACGTGGTGGCCACGGTGGTGTGGTGTTGGTGGCTGAGCAGATCCGCGGTGCTCCAACTCCCATCTCACTTTGAAACGAAACATTCTGTGGGGGACTCGCGAAGAGTCTGTAGGTATTCGTTTGGACAGCCGTCTCGCTCCCACATTGGTTGGCGTACGAAACCGGTGTCATGGACGGAATGGGCTCCGGAGGGGTTCCGGGGGAGAGCATGCTCTTGTCTGGCTTGTCTGCCATTTCCGCCATCAACCAAGAAGGGGGGCGACCTGCGGATGCGACCGAGACTCAATTTCGCCTAGATGCCTTGCGACGTCTTATTGGGTCGCGGCAACGAGACATGATCTGGCGTGGTTTGGTCAAGGACGAGTGTGGGGAAAGGCATTGGATACCGTTGGAGGGGATCCGCGATGCCGAGTTTGGGGTCCATCTGAGATATGTCGCTTTGGCAGCCATGCCCTGGAGCGGAATGACGGTTTGAAGGGTACTTGGACCAGCCGTTCTGCATGGCGAAATTTGTGTCGAGAGTTTCGTCTCGGGAGCTGCTCGTAGCATCTACATCGTAGGCGAAGTTGATCTTGTAGCCTACGCGCGATGGGAAGAGCGTAGAGGCCTCTGCGAACTCTGAAGCTCGAGCCTGGTACAGTCAGACGTTGAACACCACTCAGGGGCGGCCGAGTGCGCTCGCGCGGCTGCTATTCGAGGCAAGCCGCTTGACATCGATTCGATTATGCTTATGGGGTCTAGATGAATCCTATGTCGCATTCCAACAAATCGGACGTCGTTCCTTTGCGAGGATCGACAGGTCTAGGACCATCCTGGGTTCGCCCACATGTAGGATTGAGGCGTCTTCGGCGCTTGTCAAAGACGTGAGCGTATCCGGCACTGAGATGTCTGTTCGCCATGATCATCGACGCTGAGTGGGTTTCAGCAGCGTCTTCGTCAAGCTGCAGATTCCCAAGCCGGGCACTGCTGCCAAGTGATCAACGATCCGACAGCAACACCAAGCTCTCTATATCAATTGACTATTGTCGATGCGCGGAAGGGCTGCGACGAGATGGCGGATATGGCCACGATTGAATAATTCGATGAGTTCCTTGAAATAATGATTAACGCCCGGCTTTGATCGAGTAGGCATTACATCCTACCTTTGCTTCAGTTTTCTTCCAAACGCCTCGCCAACCTCCGACTAGCTTGGCACCTAAGGGCCGATGTTAGATACTGGCGGTAAGAGGGAACATGAATCAGATAATGTGACATCAGAGGTCAAAGACATTGACCACGTCGGCTTGATAGTTTGACCATCGACACGGGTGTTGGTCATGTAGATGGAAGTCCGGTGTTGGAGAGGAAAATCTCGAAAGCATCGGTAGGTTATAACAGCCATGGAGTGTCCGTACTTGCTCTATTGGAATGTCTCTTCCTCGATTTTCTCCCCTCTTTTCATACCTAGGTACTTGGTACTTTTTGCTTTCAGCGATGAAGGAGAGAGGGAAGGAGGAGATGCGCCCATGGCACGGCAAGAAAGAACTACTTTCATCATGGAAAGCTCTTCCGCACTGCGGTGCTACATCATGTGTGTTGGTGAACGTGGAAACAGCAGCTCTTGCTGCGTTACAATCTTGCCAGAACTAGTTGGAAGGAGCAAGAACGTAGGAACAAGTTCTCATCCGTGGGTAAACCTAGTTAGAGGGTCGCAAACTATTCAAATCGAACCAAATTCCATCGCATACTCTAGGTGCCACTTGTACGACATATTGTCTACGCTGAAGAATGGGTCATGAGTTTTGATATGGAGAAAAGGATTACAGGTTGGCACCACATAGTCCATAATCCCATTAGAAAGGCTGTCATTGTCACTGGTTTAAGAAATACGTTCAGGCTTGAACCTTGAGACCAGGTGCTATCGCCATTTGTGAGAGTATTTGTTGATTATATGACAGGCTTGGTCGATCAGTGTATAGTCAAGCCAGCTTCTGCCGCCCACAAAACGATCGCTGCCACGTCGCAATGAAGCCCTTTCGCTACATGAGAATGCGAACACGCCATTCCCGCTCAGGATGTTTCTTTAATGCATCAAAGCTTCTGGTCATTCTCAAACCATCTATTGAGGATCTTGATTTCCTCGTCAGTGAGAGCGGCCTTGTCGGTGCCATGTAGTGAGATGACGTAGGCCACAAGACTACCAGACTTGGTGGGTTCGTCGGCCAGTCCGCGAGTCTCGAGAAGAAAGCGTGCCCGCGATGGATCTTTGACAAAATCGGAGAGGAGAGACAGCTCATCAGAGTCGAGGATGGGGCAGGCGTCATTGTTGCGGTTGATGATCTCCTGTGCCAGAGTGTGGCTTTCGATCATCTCGCGAGGAGAGGGACCCGTATAGGGGGCAGATTCGGCGGCGGCGGTGGCCATGGTTATTGTTTGGAGGTGCAAATATCGGTATGTATGTTAACTTTCGACGAATTGTGTTCAGTTGATGGAGATGTGTCGGTTGCTGATGAGAATGCAGACGAAGTTTGGTTTTCCTAACCGCAGAGGCAACGTGGGGTTTTATGCTGATACGCGAATGCACTGTTGTTTGTCTAGGCGATCGTATCTTGTATCAACCAGCAACATGAACAGGCACCGAGAAAACCTCGATCTTCGCTTCCAACACTGAACACAACATACTGTGCAAGGAAATGAAGCTGAGCGATGGCAGCAAGGGAAGCAGTGCCTAAATCAGGCAACAGCATTAATGAAATGCCGACGGCGAGAGAGACGTGCCAGAATGAGAAATGGGTTTGTGTTTCTCATTGGCCGTGTCACAGACTAATCACAACCTCAAAACCAATTTTTAGCGAACTTCTCTCCAAAGTCGATCCAAACTGTTGGTAACCCGGGCAACGTCAACCACGAAGTTCCTGGCCAGACACTTACGGAGGGCATGGCGAGAGTTCCATGAGGCACCAACCCTTGTATCTGTTTATGGAACAATATGGCTTTCCTTTTTCCTGCTACGGTTCATCAAATGTGATCTAGGACTTCATTTGGTGTTGCCAGTCAGCATTTCTGCTAACTGGCCAGGTAGAGAATTGATGAGCATCATCGTAGGGTGATCCTTCGAGATTCATCATGCACAATCCAGGCAGCCATCGGAAGTAACTCTCAAGAACTCAGAAGTCAAGCAAGCTTCGTTTTTGATTTCGACGAGGGTGATAGAGGGACTTAAAGCAACCGACAGACTTGAAATGGCAAGGGCCGAGAAATCGCAAATACGTCGGGGGTGCTGACCGGAGGCGGACGTGGAGACGGGGCCAGCGCGAAGCCGGTATCCACCAGCGATGGGCCGAGCTCTCACACACCGGCAAAATCATAGAGGCGGTCGGCCAACATCTTTCAACTTACAATTCTCAGGGGCTGTTTGGCAAAACTGGTGGTATGAGAAAGAGTTGCGTGTCAAAGATTGTCAAATGACGTGGTTAGCTCAAGTCAAGCTGTAGTTCGGATGCGAGTTGAGGTCCACTACAAGCAGAGGCAAACCTAGTGCCTTGCATTATGTGTAGAGGTCAGACTACGTTACGCAAAGGAAATTACCAGTGAGCGTGCTGAGGCAAACTTTAGAAGCTCGGGAAAGTATAATAGATTTGAATCGTGCACGACTGGCAACGGGTTGCCTTTAAGAAGAACACCTCCCCGTAAATTCGGTAAAGAATTACTGAAATGGACGGCATCTACCGAGACCCGCCCCCATCCCCGCCGATACACACTACTCCTATTGTCCTAATACGGAAACACTACAATGAGGCTCTGTGCCCGGCGTATGAGCAATCTTTTGGCCCAATTAAGACGGCGGCCAAACAAAAGCGGCCCGTCGGTCCTTGCTGACGGTCCGACTTACACGTCTACAACGCCCGTTCAGTCAGCTTTGCGAGACCGAAGTCTCTTGGCTACCCTTGGCGACGATGACAAGCTAGAGGTATGAGAAGCTGATGCGTCTACGGATATATAACAATGGCGAGCATTATCTCAACTGTGAATCGGATATCCAGATCATACCAGACCTTCTCACTCATCTCTCGAGAAAGAAGAAAATCGAAGGTTCAAGGCAGACAACCCTCCAATCGGCTACAAAATGGCAACTCAAGACATTGTTTCCATCTTCCAGGCCTTCCTGAACGCAGTCAACAACAAGAAGTGGGATGAAGTTCACAACCACCTCCAGCCGGTAGTGAGAGCAACCTACAACGAAAACACAGAAAGCAGAGACCAGTTCATCAACCGCCTCACCACAACGGCCGATAAGGGCAGTATCTTCAGCGCAGACCAGTTAACCGTCAACGAGGCCGCCCAATCCCTCGGCGCCCGCCTCGTCACAACAACAGGCGATGCCCCCGAGGGAACCCCATCCAAGGTCTGGGACCTCATCCTCGTCTTCTTCGAGAACGGCAAGATTGTCCGTCTCTACCAGGTCGCAAACCAACAGAGCCGGGGAGTAGGCCCCGTGCCCGCCCCGCCGTTCGTGCCCGAGTACGCCGCCAAGGCCTCCCAGAACCCAATCTCGGCCGCCGAGATCGAGGCGCTGTACCGCAAGTACATCTACAGCTACAACGACGGCACCATGCCCACCGTGCTGCCGGCGCTGTGGGCGGAGACGATCTCGATGCACGGGAACCTAGTGCCGGCAGTCGGAGCCGTTGGGTTCCTGGGCAAGATTCTGCTGCCTGTCATCGCCGGACTCAAGTATGAGGTTGACGAGTTTGTGGTTGATGAGAAGAAGCAGCAGATCGCCGTCAGGCTGTCCATCTCAGGCGTGCCTCAGAACAAGAATCTGCAGAAGAATGGCCCGGATGGGAAGGTTACTGTCTATGAGCATGCTTTGTACGGATATGAGGAGGGTAAGGTTGCTTGGGCTTGGGCTGCACAGGCTTTCGACATGAGACCTCCCTCGGCGTAGAGCCGTGATCAGTAGAGCCCCCGTGATTGATCAAAAGTAGTCTTTTGGTTGGTCAAGATCAGATTCAGACGCCATGATGAGGCACATCGGATAGGTAGACTTAATTTATAACCCATTGGCTAGTCTTTGCTACTTATGGAAGATCCTACCACTGTGCTTGGCTCATGACGCAGTCCAGACTCTCAGACCCAAAGCATTTCACCTTCGATGCTATCCTTGGACACCTTAGAGATCATTTATTGTCGCCCATCCTGTTGAAAACGCACTCCTTCCACTTGTGGATCCTATACCTTGTAGAAATGAATCACATTCCACTACTCAACGCAGTAGTTCCGTAACCAAGATCGCCTCTGCAAGAAGAGAGTTAAGGAAAGGACTAGAACGTCGCAATACCTAGATAAGTTCACGTAATACCGTAGATACATATAGACGATGACGTATAATAAGTGGTATTTAATCTCTTGAAAGTATCAATACACTTAGACAAGACGTAAAGGTGCATTCGAGGTGCTTTAAAAACTTAGAGTCCCGTAACATCTCCGTTGTCACAACAAGGTGCCTTGTTGTCGCCTCCTGGTCATATTTAAAGTAAACAGTAGATACCGGAAATTGACGCTACGCTACATGACGAAATTTACTAAGATCAAGCGCAAAAATGCCTAGAACAAACAAAGAGAAGCCGGTCACGGCGCAAGCGCCATCCGCGACGTCTCCCAAGCTGACGACCTCATCTATCAATGCCGATCCAATTCTCGGATACAAGATTCGAGTTCTTATTCTTGATTTCCTCAGAAAAGCAAAAGACCCCGAAGCGCAACGACGAATCGACTCAACGACCGAGGTCAACTACATCAGCGGCCCTTACTTCGATCAAGAACAAGCCAAACGAGTCAGGGAAGCTACTGTAGACGTGGAACTTCAGATCAGCATATCCGCAGCCACCCAAGACAACCACGAAGGCGACGAAAATGAGGAACGGAATCCCAGGGTCAGAATAAGCGGGCTGACTGTGGAAGAGGCTATCGAGACAGTAATGAATGGATTCTTGGATGAGCGTAGGGCCAGTGGAGACACTAAGCCTTGCGGACCACACGACCTCGCTCCGATATATGCAGCACTTTTCGGCATACACTTGCTCGAGCTGCAGTCCCATCAGTTCTTGAGTCGGGTGAGAAGGAGCGGGGTTTGAGGCCGTTCCTTGTCTCGACGCCTTCGGAGACGGAGTTCTCGCCGAAGGTACCTTGGCACCTGTGAATTTCACTAGATGTTGGCCCTCTCGACTATGAGATGTAAGGGAAAAAGAGGGGTATGTGACCGGTTTCCCCCTTAATTGATCGCAATGCTTATGCCTTCTAGTGGTATGACTGTTGCGGACTTCTATGGTCCGCACGAATGGAAGATATCGAGACCTTTACTACCTGCTCGTTTCCCCTCCTGTCGGGCCCGAAGTATGCATGTCGTTTCTTTTCCCTCTTCCAACAGTCCACGAAGCAAGTTGGGCCATGTGATACGCCCAACACGGCACAGATCAGAGACAGGGGCGATCAACGCACAGAGACATGATTGGTCTCACCACACCCAAGGACAACAGCGCCCAGCCGTTGGAAGCGAAGCGTCAAATCGCAGGCCGCCGATTAGCTCGCGACTTCGGGAGTCTGCAGGATCACGACCGGTGTAGGACTTTAGGTACTCTTGCTTGGGCCGTCTGCATGCTGTATGATTCCATCACTAACTGACTCAGTCGCGGTTGCCTGGGTTGCGATATGTAGAAGACAGACTCTATCGTCGGATACAAAACCATGGCAGCTGGGTCGCGGCCACTTCGCGAGTATTTCTCTCCACTATCTCGGAGGTTTTGCTACTGTGTATAACCATCTGTTTGGCCTTGATTCAGTCGCTCGGAACACCTGCTAAGTACATCGGAACGGCAGTCCAGATGAGCGCCCTCGGAGGAGGTTCCTCAGATAGATCCGATGCTGCCTCGCCTATGAGCATTGCCTCAGATACTAGTGACGAAGGTGTTGAACTCGAAGTTGGTGACAGTGTGAGTTGTCCATAGCCCGCCCTAGTATAGACGCAATACACTAAGCTCATATATACAAGGACAACGATTCGACCCTTGACGACCGAATGTATGAAGAACTTGAGTTGCCACACGCGATTAGAGCTAATGATGCAGGTCTTCGTACACCAAGTCGGTAACCTCTAGTGTCGTAGATTACCCTACAGAACATGGGCGACGATACCACGCGTTTAGAGCTGGAGGTGAGTGTATCGAGTTTTCTGCTGCGGGACCATGCTGACCTTGACACGGCCTACTTTGCCCCCAATGACGAGGTAAGCAATAGAAGTAACGGCAAGAGAGCTACTTTCTCTGACGAGGCGGTCATGTTGCTGCAAGGATGAACTAGGTCGTTTGGATTACAATCACGAGCTGGTTCTGAAGTTCCTCAAGTACAACCTCTTTCTAGCCCCAATTGACGTGAGGAAGATGCAAAGAGTACTTGATATCGGTACTGGTACGGGTATCTGTGAGTCTACATTAGACGGGTGCCAGAGTTCTGAGCTTATGACTGTCAGGGGCGATCGAGATGGGCGACACTTTCCCCAACGCGTTGGTATGTACTACTAGGATCTGATGATACGGCCGGAAGCTGAGAGTCAGCAGATCATCGGTAACGACTTGAGTCCCGTCCAGCCAAGACTGTAGGATATGGAACTTCCCACTGCCTCTCTGATCTCTGATCTATAGCTAATCATTAAAAGAGTCCCAACCAACGTCAGGTTTGAGATCGATGATGTTGAAAGTGATTGGGTCTATGAAGAACAGTTCGACTTCATCTTCAGCCGCTACATGGCTGGATCTCTCTCCGACTGGCCTACACTTGTGAGTAGAGCATACGAGTATGTGATACTAGATGTAAGCGGCACAATACTGGATGGCTGATGATCTTCTTTCCGCACAGAAATCTTCGGCCAGGTGGATGGGTTGAGTTTCAGGACTATGACTTTGAATTTTCGTCACTTGACGGAAGCCTAAGGCCCGATCACAAAACACACCAGTGGGACCAAGCTTTTCTGGAAGCGGCCAGGCTCTGTGGCATTGAGCCATGCCCTGGATCTAAGCTGGAGAACTGGGTGGAGAATGCAGGATTCATCAACATCGGGCATAAGACAATCAGTGTGCCTCTAGGGCCGTGGGCTAAAGACAAGTACCACCAAGAAATCGGCCTGGGCAACTTGATCCAGCTTCTAGATGGGCTCGAGGCGTTCACATTGAGGCTGTTTTGTGGGGTTCTTGGCAAGACTGAGGAAGAGGTGTCGACCCTGTTATCCGAAGTCCGCCAAGAGCTGAGATCGCAAGTCTTTCACGCCTTTGGCGAATTGTGAGTATCACCCTATAAGAGTACGATGCTTACAGTAGGACTAACCAAAAGAGAAGCCATGTAGTCTACGGCCAGAAGCTCTAGCAAGAGCTCTAGACACTTCGGCTGGTGTACCTAAGCAATAGATATCAACATGCGGAGGAGCATTTTTCAAGATACTACACAGTCTGACACACTAACTCTAAGCGGGGCTGTTGCTTGATTTGCCTGCCTCGGTTGAAATCATCCCTCACTCGCCGCCTCGAGAATGGCGTGCAAACCTATTGGGAAATCGTAGCGATGCAAATTGATGAAATATGCAACACTCTGGATTAGAGAGACTCAGGATCCACCAGTAGACCGGGGAAGCCGGAACCAGTAGTCTTCATTGGTTTCATTATTATAGAGCCTGTCTTCAAGGGTTCAACCAACTGCTCAATGGATCATTGGCAACGCTCTGATTTGTTTCCACCCCGGCGAGATGCATGTGAACCTAGTAAATGGTACGTTTGTTTGCATAGTCTGCACGAGAAAGCACAAGTTGTGCACCAGCATTGGGGCGTCAATGACCGAAAACCCGCAGGATGCAGGGAAATCAATACCAAGTATTTCTTACAAAAGTCGCTGATTGTCTAGCTAAATTCACCCTCGTCATGCCCACCGATCCTTTCTTCTCAGTGTTTGGGTCTACAGTCCGACGCATATAAGTCTATTTTGGATTGAGATCTTAGTGTAGACTCTCGGGACGAAGATTGCAACCTTTAGACACACTAGCCTCCATCATGGCTGGCTCACCGAGTGATCTCCCACCGGCACCTACGGCTGCATCCCCCGCCAGATCGAAGACCGCTTCACCCAAGAACACGGTCTCACAAAGGTCTAAGGCAGCTTCGCCAGGAGGGGCGAACTCTCCTGCGAGCGAAAACCTACAAGATGAACTTGAGGTTGACGAAGGGCTGAGTGTCGGTAGCCTTCTTGCTTGGGCTTCAATTCTCATAATATTCGCTAACACAAAGGCTAGGTCAGCGACGGGGCCTCGCTCATGGATGATCAGATGTGGGTTTCCTCCTCACCCCGTTCAATTAGGAGTAGCACTTACGATCCGATTAGATCATCCTATACGGCTTCCTTGACTTCTAGTGCGATTGACTATCCCGTAGAGCATGGCCGTCGTTACCATGCTTTTCGAGCTGGAGGTTAGCAACCGTGGCTGAAATATTTCGTTCTCTCGGGCTAATACATCTTAGCTTACTACGCTCCGAATGACGAAGTACTATTTCGATTCCGCCAGACGCTCAATCCACATGCTAACCAAAGTGGTGATAGAGCGAAATGGAACGTCTTGATCTGCTAGCGACTTTGATTTTCAAGGTCACTGGCAAGCTGTATCTAGCCCCGATTGAACAGAGTAAAACTCATCGTATCTTGGACATCGGCACTGGGACTGGTATCTGTATGTAGCTTCTCTGCATTTCATTGCTCCTGCTCCAATCAACTAACTGAAGGCAGGGGCTATCGAAATGGGAGATTTGTTTCCTAACGCAGAGGTACATATTTGTAGCCCGCGAAAAGCAGTATCTTCGTCTACAGACTGGACAGTGAGCTAATCGAATGGCTGGACAGATTATTGGAAATGACCTGAGTGCGAACCAGCCAACTTGGTACGTCCAAAGTATAACTAGAGTGTGCAGGTATCCGTTCATCTCTGACCAGTCACAGGGTTCCAGCAAATGTCAAATTTGAGGTCGATGATGTCGAGAGTCCTTGGCTACATACACTCGAGTTCGATTACATCTTCTGCCGAACTATGGCCGGCGCTATCGCCGACTGGCCGAAGTTGATCAAAAATATCTACGAGTAAGCTTGAAAACATGGTACTAAAACCTTCCTCAACTGATGACCCGCTGTAGCAATACCGCCCCCGGAGGTTGGGTAGAATTTCAAGATCTCGATCTCCTGTATCGCTCTGATGATGGCTCAATAACTGAGGAACACGAATGCATGAAAATGAACAGAACCTTCATCGAGACATGCAAACAAATTGGCCGTGAGCCCTGCCCAGGGCCTCTATTCAAGGACTGGGTCACTGAGGCCGGCTTTACCAACATCACTCATCAGAGGTACAAACTACCCCTCGGTCCTTGGCCCAAGGATCCTCATATGAAGGATGTCGGACTCTGTAACCTCATCTGCGTATTGGATGGCCTGGAAGCTTTCAATCTGAGATTACTGACTGGAGTTCTCGGATGGTCAAAGGAGGAAGTCTTGACAATGCTGGCAGCTTGTCGACAAGAGTTGAAGACCGGTGCCTTCCATGCTCGGATGGAATTGTAAGTTCCCCTCCTCGTATTTTAGATACTGTTTTTTCTTCCCCCATTCCGTCCTCGGCTAACAATGAGAACAAAAGCCACGTTGTTTATGCACAGAAGCCGACGACGGAAGCTTAGCCAGGCGCAGTCAATATGAGTAGAGTAAAGTAGAGGAAAGAAGCCTGTAACCTACCTATATGCATTCAAATGCCATTGAAGTGATTCTTTCAAGATTGAAACACGTATTTGCTTGCTTCCGCTCCGGAGGGCCAGACTTGTTGTCTCTTCACCTTCCATTTGGGGGGTCGGCCCTCGGTTTTCTGTCCAAGGAGCAGGGGGCAGCAGAAATGTTCTGCAAGCTGATTCATGCATGAGGTGGCTTGATCACTTTCTATCACATTACCCACATGAAGGCCGGGGAGGCTGGGTCAGAGTCTGTCATTGGACTCGAACCAACATGCATGGGCTGCGACAGCCTGATAGCCCCCGCTACGAGATCGTTAAGACACTGCTGATTAGTCTTTGACCCCGGGCGTATGCGTGTTTGCTATGTTGGTTCAAGGAAACGGAACGGTTGTGCATGCACCAACAATGGGTTTCCAAGCTGTAGGGGCCCGCGCAAAGAGGAGAACCCAACTGAGTACAAATTCTTCGTGGTATAACTGCAGCTGTCGAACACGTTCTTTCTTACTTCCCACTCTTCCCAATTTTTTCAAACGACGTTGCGTCCAAGCATACCTTGTAGAACGGGGTTCCGGACGCTGCCCAGGTTGTCATTCGATATGGTTGGATCACCAATCGACCCACCCGCACCCGCGTCGGGTTCCCCGGGGCGCACGAAAGCTGCCTCCCCTGCCAGGTCCAAGACTGCATCACCAGTGAGATCCAAGACTGCCTCTCCGGCCGGACCTGGATCTCCTCAGAACAATCACGAGATTGAGACAGGTGACATTGAGGTCGACGATGAGGGTTTGGTCTGTGATCTATAAGTCAACGTGGTTCCTTTCTTGCTCTAACTCCGTCACCAGGGATCTGACACTGCATCGACCATTGATAGTCGTTGGTAAGAATTTGAACTTGCGAAACCTTACTTTGTAGCTGAATTTCGATCCAGGTCCTCGTATACGGCATCGCTATCTTCAAGCGTTGTTGACTACCCCACGGAGCATGGCCGCCGCTACCATGCTTTTCGCTCTGGCAGTAGGTAAAGCCCTTGCCCAACGTGCGACGCTCGGCTAATCTTGATCAGCGTATTGGGGTCCGAATGATGAGGCATGATTTGCCCCCAAGACTATCTACAAACTCGAGGCAAGAGCTAACTTTCTTTCACTCAAAGACTGAGAGTGACCGTCTTGACTTCAACCACATGCTCATGGTGAAAACCATCGGCGACAAACTTTACCTAGCCCCTCTTGAGAAGGAAAAAATCAATAGAGTCCTCGACATAGGAACTGGTACTGGAGTCTGTAAGTTAAGAGAGTCCATGCAGGAGTAACGCCACGAGCTAATATAAACCAGGGGCTCTGCAGGTAGCCGAAGAGCTTCCACATGCTGAAGTGAGCCTCTTGAAACCCGTACAAGAAAAGAGAGCCCGTGATGTCTTTGAACTAATAAACAACCCCGCAGATATTGGGAAATGATTTGAGTGCCATTCAACCCACTTGGTAAGTACACCAGTCCTCTAAGCCAGCAAATTTGTTCGTCCTAACTGATGCTCAGGGTCCTGCCTAATGTCAAATTCGAGATTGATGATGTTGAGAGTCCTTGGATTCACACACGCAAATTCGACTTCATTTTCAGCAGATACATGACGTCTTCTATTGCAGACTGGCCCAGGTTGATGAGGAGTGTCTATGAGTAAGACTTCAGAAGGAACTGATAAGTTCAAGTTTCAGACGCTGATTAGTAACTTAGAAATGTGGCTCCGGGCGGCTGGGTTGAGTTCCAGGACTACGACTTGGAGTATAGAAGCGACGATGGCTCACTTACTCCACAGCACTCGACTTACAAGTGGCTGCATAAGTTCTTCGAGGCCTGCAGAATTGTAGGCCGCGATCCCAACCCGGGGCCTCAGCTGGAGGGCTGGATCAGGGAGGCCGGTGATTACGTCAACGTTGTCCACCAAAAGTACAAGATCCCAATCGGGGACTGGCCTAAGGATCCCCACTACAAGGAATGCGGCATGATCAACGTGATGCAAGTTCTTGATGGACTTGATGCTTTTACCTTTAGGCTCTTCACTGGCGTTCTCGGTTGGACAAAGGAGGAAGTTGTGGTTCTCCTCGCCGAAGTCCGTCGCGAACTGAAGTCGAAGATTTTCCATGCCTACTTCGAGTTGTGAGTCTTGCGTCCCCTAACATTGCCTAACGGTCTGAATCATGGACTTTCTTTAACAGTACATCATTACAGCCACGTGGTATACGCGCAGAAGCCAGAGGCAGAGGAATGAGGTACATCAGACTTTGCAATACAAAAGTATTGAGGCTTCATTTCCTTCTTATGTCTATAGACTAGCTCGCATACAGATTACCATCTCTTTCTTGTATGTGAGAATGTACACGGTCTTTGAACTTTGTTATAGCCATTCGTTACGAGGAAGATTGAGAACGCATCAATGTGCCTCGAAGTTGCCACTCCAGCTTATCGGTGCGCTAGCGTCCGGACAGGCCCCGCTCCCGCCATCTGCCGGTCGAAACGAGCCGCTAGTCCAAACGGATCGGCCCCGTCCAGTGTTTCTTCCGGAGCGGAGTTTACAGTAAATCCTGCCAACTCGTCCAAATCAACCAACCATTCATATGACCAGTGAGGCAGCGCCCCCGGCTAGGGTGAATCCTTCTGGGCAGACGTTGCTAGCCTTCTTCTCATGACGTGCGGAGTAGATCCCATGCGTGCGTTTGTCCTTGCGATATGAGAAAAGGACCAGGTGAGACTTTGGCCAGCGTTGCGTATTGTTGCGAAGGTTGAAGACGCCCGGATGCGATTTGGTTGTTGATCCCACTCACGTGCATTTGTCCTTTGGGCGGATGGTGCGATCACTACTCCGTGCGTGTAATAAGTTGCCTGCACCATTCGTGTTTCGACCTGTTGCTATCTCTACATGCCCAGTTTCAACCCTCTACCGTAATTCGCCTGAACGACGATATGGCTAGCGATTGATCGCAGCCACACTGGTAGCAGTCGCACTGGTTACAGTCTTCTTTCTGTTATCAAAAAGAGGCAAGAATGACGAGACGACCCTAAAGCCCCTCAATCTCTCCATCATTAGCGACCTCCATCGCTCACCTTTAGAGAGACTGCCCCGACGGCGGGATGAATGGGTTGGCGCAATAGACCAGTTTCGACGACGAGACTCTTTGGGGTCCTTCCCGCGGTGGTTATGAAAACCGCCGAAGCACAAAATGAGCTCTTTGAGAAACGCAGCGTGTACTACAGCCACAGGCCGACCTCTGCGAGCATGAACATGATCACCGGAGCATAGCCGCGAAACTCACGATTCGCTCTGATGCACGAGCATCATGCCTATCCGAGACTCCATGATCAACTGCTAACCCCAAGTCTCGGATCCATTGCTGCGTCAAAGTTTCGGCCAGTCAATCGATCAGCTTTACTAGGCACTATTGCTATCGAAGCAACATCGTGACCCACCACTCAACAATTAAAACGACAAAAAACATACAACACCAGGTATTCGCTGATCGTCACCGACTCAACTACTAATCTGGCCCTCATCGGCTTGTCTATGGGAGAGCGGACGGGATCCCGAATTCTCCGATGGGTGTGGTCGTATGTGCTTGTTTCTGGATGAGAATTCTCTTATCAAGTGTGCGAGTGCAAGCCGAGCAGTTGCCGCCAAGTACACCGAAACAAGCCCCGTTGTCGTAAATAGATCTGGCCTTCACCCTCGCAACGAGCGTCTAAGGCGGTATGGAGACTAGCTTGCGGCAGATGCTCTGGTTTCTCGTCGCAACGCACACGAACGTGGATTTCGTGGTGCGATCGCAAGCCATCCCAGATAACTTCGTTGGCAGAAAGCGGCAGTCGCGCCTTGCGGAACGGACGAAGTTGGCTTACATTGATGCCGTGGTATCGAAGATCATGCGCTGAAGACCGGTTTCGCCGGAAAGTATCCCACGGAGAACCGAGATGATGGATAAGATCTGTGGCAAGCGCATCGTCAAGGGAGTGACATTGTTCGTGAATTCTTGGGTTATTGATTGGGATAAGAAGGTGTTTTATGATGAATTTGGAAACTTGGGGGCTTTCATCCCTGAAATATGGCTGAACTTGAATGGTAGCTTACGTACTGACCTGCCCCTACCTGTGCTAAGCCAAGGTACACGAAACTACCTGGTAAGTAAGTGTCTCTTGATAACACCTTTATGGTATTCGATTGCCTGTCAGGGGCCTTTAAGAGAGTACCGTTGGAGGAGGCCGACAATGTGGCCATGAACGCAATCCGCTACATGACGGAACTCTCTGAATTCAAGTTCGGCTTTAAACCTCGGGGACCATGTGTGAAGGATGTAGTTCGAAGAGTGGGATACCGCTGAGGCAGACTCGAGCTTGGTCACGGAATCTCGGCCAGACGTTGAGACTTGAAAGGTCCCGTCTTTGAAGAGATAGGGACAGGACGAACAAGATCTTAGGGCCTTGGCTTCCCAACGTATATGTCCATTTCGTTCAGTCTAAACATCTTGATGGTGGAGCCAGCCGTATCCAAACGCTTGGAAATGACGGGTACTGCTATCAGTCGGATGCGAAGAATAATGTAGTACGACCGAGTAAGTCAGCATCTCCAATGAAGACTGTGAAGAATAGGTTATCCTCGGACGATGGCATAATTAAATACCAAAGTAAGAGCCATGGAAATGGCAAAGTTAACTTGGCTGTGTCATCGTCTCCTGAATTCTCCAACGGTCTTCTCCGCATTTGCAGTCAAGATCTCAGCCAGGTTCATCCTTCTGAGAAACCCGCGACACAAGCTTCCTAAGAGTATGGCTTCGCGAGGCCCCAGGCTGGGCAGTTTCGCTCGGTACAATGTCCGTTAAGCAACGCCGAGCTCTTCTCTCGGGCATAAACTGACTCAAACAGCTAACGGAATCAGTCCGCGAACGAATCGCGCAAATCTTGTCTGTCGACGCTGTTCGCAGTAGTCCATCACCTGAGCAAGTCCTACGTTATGAGGTTGATGATGGGTGCAAGCTCTTTTCTCGGAAGATTTAGGATCGGAGTTGCAAGGATACTATCTGTAGAGCCAGACCAAGTCACGAACCCAAGCGGAGAACAATATTTCTTCGTATTCAGTGGACACTTGGAATTTCAAATGCAATCAATTCGCTGTAATCAAGAGCCAAAATCTAGCTATGGAAGTAACAATGCTGGTGTCCTCGATGTCCTTGGCGCCAAAGTAGTCGCTTATGTGCCATGTTCCTATGCCGTGTTCTACGGAGCCTTTCCAATTGAGGTTCCGGTGGCCCTTTTATGCGCGCCTTGCCGCTTTGATCTTCGCCGAGTCTGATCCCAAAACCTATATTGAGTATGAGATGATGATTGACACATCACGGGGAAGTGGTCCGTACTCACGCCTATGAAATTCCAAGTCTGGTGTATGTCGGTTTAACCAGAACCGCAGACGCAGCCCTCACGGAGCGCTGGAGCAATGTTGGGAAATGGGAAGCACTGGCGGCCTTGGACATCGCAGTTCTCGCTCTCCACGCCACAGGCGGTATCAGAGCAAGGTCCGGTGTACGGTGCCTGCGCGGCGACGGCGGCCACGAGGGTGAAGACGGTGAAGAAGATGCCACGCATAGTTTCTAGTTTGAATGTGGGTTTGGTATTCTGGCGTTTGGCAGTTGCGGGGAAGATTAGATGAGTTCGAAGCGTTCGAATCGGATGAAGTTGAAGCTGAAGACTGTTGTGTGATGATGATGAGCTAGTGAGAGATAAGACCGAGACTGTGCGTTCATTCGTCTCGATTATATACTTCATTCACAAGGAGTCCTTTTGCATTCGTCTCCTCTTTTCACGTCCTGTTTTTTACAGTTTTGACAATAGCCAGGAGTATCATGTCTATTTTGGAGGTCTGCTAATTGAGGCTCGGCCACAGACGTCTGGCGGTGCAATCGGCTGGTGGCCCGAAAACCTTGGCTGCACCTTGGCAGGTTTGGAGTATTATCGGTTCCAAGGGAGGTAGAAAGGATGCCAGCGACAATCACAGTGAGGTAGGCTTAGTTAGCAGCCGATTGGGATCTGCTATGAAGCGGTAAAAGAGTAGGAGGGCAAGAAAAGCTTGTGGCTGCCGTCTCGCGCTGGTCTTGGCGATGAACGTTTCAATTATTTCTTGTCCTTCTCTTGGCTCTCTCTCGACCGTGGTGCGGGATGCTGTCCGCGTCTCATACATTGCCTTTATTTAGAAGGGCGAGGGCGCCCTACTAAAATAAAGTCGCCAATCCCCCCACGATGGCTAGTGGTTTGACGATGGTGAGTTGTTCACGCGGGTGGCCCCCACATGCGAATGAATTGAATGGTTCAGCAACTCTTGGGAGTTGTCAAGATAGTAAAAAGGGGGTTGTATCCTTGCCCGGTTGTTGTGTCGGTCGCTCCGCGGTTGTAGGTATTTCTGTACAGTTGCATGGCGAGTCAGCGATCGCCCCGAGAGCCAATGCAACCAGAGGCTTATTTTTGAAACTGTCCGACGGGATTGGAATGAAACGGGTCCGGGGTTGAGTGCTGTATGCGCGAATGAGCACCTACGTACAGCATACATGTCGATCCCGCCTCCACTTCATCTTGGTGTATTATCTCTTACCCGGCGTTTACATGTGCGATCGATGTCGCTATAGAGTTGGGGTGGCCTATCTTCACTCATCACCCTACTGTGCCGGGGATACTACAAGGCAGGCGACATTCTTCGCAATGAGTTGAAGCAAACGCATCGAGTTGTATCTTTTGACCGTGACCAAGAAAAATTAACTCATAATCGCGTCTTGTTTACTCCAAAGCGTCTCTGTTAAGGTAAGGTAGGATGAGGAGTAACGCACTGATTGAGCGCAGAGAATGCGGTGGCAAGCAGATAACCGGACCGGGCACGGAGCAAGAAAGTGGGACTCGGATCCGGAACTGGCATCCGACCAGCGGGTCGGATCTCCGAGGCGTCTGCCGCCTCATTCGTCCGATGTTGAATTTACTCCAGAAGTAATGCGCAGCCACCAAACGGCAGGAGAACTCGACCATCATGGATATTGTCTCACCTCGCATTTCCAAGTCCATATAGCTCGCTTTTGATCGAATTCTAAAAGCCAGGCGCGTGATTAGAGCTTTTGACAGCGTTCGTAATTTGATAAAGATCACCTGATCGGCTCTGCACGTGATGCCTGCACAGCCACCCATTGGATTGCTGTCATCCCATCTCTTTCTGAGGCGGCTGCGTCATGGCCATTTACTTTTCTCATCCCAGCAACATCTTCGACTCCAGACCAAATTTCTCATCTTTGGAAGACATTAACATCTCTCTCTTTCGCAACCAAAAAAGCATACTCATCTTGCGCAATTGTCAACGAAAGCTCCACCAAATTCCAACAACACTTCCAACAACACAATGGACCAATCTAGCCAAGTTGCCCCATCTGGGCGTGCAGATTCTCCTTCCACATTGAGCGACGCCCAACAGCCGGCCCCTTACCAACCCATGGGTGAGCACAGAGTCCTCTTCCGTCGAATAGCCATAAACGTTTGAAACCTCTCACTAATCAGCCTCGCCGCGCAAAAGATCCTCAGCGCCCACAGCCCCAATCAGAGCAGATGGAGATGGGCCTTCGCGGCGGTGATGATGGTCGCGGACCTTGCCCCGGACGCTTCTGCTTTATCATCCCCTGCCCTATTCCTTGCAATTTCTGTATTTTCCCTTGCCCTTGCTAAGGCGAGGAGTGAAGCAATGTTCTTATGTGTGTTTTGTTTTTAAGAAGGTGGACTTTTTTTGTTCATTTTGGCCCAAGGGGCACAGTTCCGTGTGGAGAACCGAAATGTCGAGCGATAGAGCCGGAAATTCAACCAAGCAGATGATGCTTACTTGCTCGGGGTGATGATACGCCGCACAGGGGGCAACTTGTTGATAAAGGGACCTATTCTTAATACCGAGGTACATTTCTTCAAAATTCTGTCGAATCCTTTCGATTTATGCGACGCGTCTCAACTGTGCGCCGTTGCGCTTTCGGCAATCTTTACCCAACGCCAGCATTTTCAGCCTCTCGATGAGTTCCTCATGTGCCAACGACGGGTCACTGGGTCCAGTCGTCCACGGATGCCGTGATGACTTTGACTTCACTGTCGGATTCGAGCAAGCCGCCTTGGCAATTACTCCGGCAGCCGTGTTGATCCTGTGTTCCTTGCCGCGACTGTTTCAATTGCTTCAAAAACAAAAGTTAATTGACGAGACTATTCTACTATGCCTTAAGATCGTAAGCAAAGACACTACCTATAACTACACTATACCTAATACTTTATCAGTCTGCTCTTGTGACCTACAGTGGCCTGCAACTTGGCCATCTCATTCTGACAAGTCGTGGCACGTACTGGTCGTCCCAGCTGGGGCTCGCATCCGATACGATGAATTTCATTGCATCCTTAGTCATGATCCTTCTCTCATTCTTGGAGCATGCCCGCTCACCGCGGCCGTCGATGCTGCTCGGCGGATACCTCCTGATCACTGCCTTGTTTGATATTGCTCGCACGAGAACTGAATGGCTGTCGGCAGACTCTGCCAACGATTTCCATCAAGCTCGGTTGTCGATCGCTAGTGTCATTCTGAAAGTCGTCGTGCTCGTCATCGAATCTTGGACGAAAAGTCAAGCAATAGCCTCCGAAAAGCAGCAAAGTCCAGAGGCGACGAGCGGTCTCGTTAGTCTGTCGACCTACTTTTGGGTCAATGACCTCTTTCTCAGGGGATTCCGCAAGCTCCTTGTCCTCGACGACTTGTATGCGCTCGATGAAGCAATGTCAGCCGAGGTCCTGTACGCCAAATTCGGGCCTCTTCTAGAGAAGAACAAAACGCAGGGCCACAAGTATGCTCTATTCAGGGGCATTGCACAGACGCTTGTAGGACCATTCATACTGCCCATCATCCCACGGCTTTGTCAAATGGGCTTCAAATTCTGCCAACCTCTCATGATTGAGAGCTTGTTGAACTATCTCCAGGAGCCTGTGGGTGCCTCGTCACCGAATAAGGGGTACGGGTATATCGGTGCTGCCTTTCTCACATACATTGGCATGGCTACATCCAGTTCCATTTACTGGTACTTCCAAGAGCGCTTCGTCCATATGGCAAGAGGCATCTTGGCCTCAGCCGTCTACCGCAAAACAACCGTCATCAGTTTGTCCGCCGCAGACGATTCCGCGGCCTTGACTCTCATGAACGCCGACGTGGAGCGCGTCAAGAATGGCTTTCAGCCGATCCACGAATACTGGGCCAACACGATCGAGGTTGCGTTGGCGTGTTGGTTGCTGCAACGGCAAATTGGCGCCGCCTTTGTTGCACCTGTCGTTGTAGTCATCGTCTGCACGGCAGCCTCCACGGTGACCGCCAAATTCACAGGAAAACGTCAAACGTTGTGGATGGAGTCAATTCAGCAGCGAGTCGGTGTAACCGCCAAAGCTATCTCGAGCATGAAGGCACTCAAGATATCGGCCATGTCGGGGCCGATTGAAACCCTGATACACAGCTTACGCCTCAAGGAAATTAGCGTGGGTGGGAAATGGCGACTGATGCTTCTCGCGGCCGTGACGATTGCATACACGCCCTCTCAGCTCGGCCCCGTCATGGCTTTCGCCGTGACTTCTCAGACCCTCAACGTCACGCGTATCTTCACTTCTATGGCGTACCTCATGCTCTTGGCTGGTCCGTTAGGCAGCCTGTTCCAGACCATTCCGCAACTGGTTTCGGCGTTCGCCTGCCTGGGTCGTATCCAGGCGTACCTAGACAAAGACAGCCGTATAGATTATCGCAAAACGCCCGAAGCCCCGCGTTTGTCAAGTTTGGGAAGTGATACGAAGCCCACTGAATTACATTCTTCCTCAATCACAGTGAAGCAAGCTTCGTTTGGATGGACTGAGGGAAAGTACGTTCTAGACGACGTTGACGTATTCGTCCCTGCCAACTCCCTGACCATCATCGTAGGACCTGTGGCTTCTGGCAAGTCGACACTTCTGAAAGGCCTTCTCGGCGAGATCCCACACTATTCTGGCGAAGCGATCTTCAGTGTCAACTATCGCAGGGTAGGCTACTGCGATCAATCTCCGTTCCTCTATAATACCACAATCAAGGCCAATATCATTGGGCACTCGGAACTGGACCCTGAACGATACCGCCAAGTAATCGATGCCACGATGCTATCTGCCGACTTTTCAACACTACCCAAAGGCGATCGAACTAAAATCGGCAGCAACGGGCTCACCTTGAGTGGTGGGCAGAGACAACGAGTCGCTCTCGCTCGCGCCCTGTACCTCGAATGTGACCTACTTATACTGGACGATATCATGAGCGGCCTCGACGCGACCACCGAAGAGCACGTCTTCAATCGGGTCTTTGGGAACCAAGGCATCGTTCGCCAGAGGCGCACCACGGCCGTATTATGCACACACTCTGTGCGTCATTTACCACTTGCAGACCATATCATCGCACTCGGTGCCGACTGTACTGTAGTCGAGCAGGGATCCTTTGCAGACTTGCAGACCAACGGGAAATATGTTCAAAGTCTGAAGATCCAAGAGATCGAGACCTCTCCTCAAGGAAAGAATGAAGTGTCAAGCCAGCCTGAGAAGATCCCCTTGGCTCAAATAATCACTGAAGTCTCCGACGTGGCGGACGAACCGGATAAGGCACGCCAGCTGGGCGATGTTGCAGTATACAGGCACTACTTTGGAAGCATGGCCACATGGGTCATTGCCGTCTTCATCTTCTGGTGCTGCGCCTACGCCTTTTGCATGAACTTCCCCACCGTCTGGCTGAAGTTCTGGTCCGAGGACATCACCGCCGAGATCCCGAAGCGCTCAGGCGCGTTCTACATGGGCATCTATGCTCTTTTACAAATCATGTGTCTCGGTTCCCTGATGGTGGTCGTCTTCATCAATACGCAGACCATGATCTCACAGTCCGGATCGAGTTTGCACCAGCGAGCCCTGCGAACGCTCGTCGGCGCGCCATTGAGGTTCTTTGCGACGACTGACACGGGGACAGTGACGAACTTGTTTGCTCAGGATCTCGCTCTGATTGATAGCGAGCTGCCGATGGCACTGATCAACTTCTCCGTGCTGCTGTTTGCTGCTGTGGGTATGGCTGTCGTTATTGCCGTCTCGTCGCCGTGGTTGGCGATTAGTTACCCCTGTCTTGTGGCGATTCTGTACTTTGTGCAGATGTTTTACCTTCGGACTTCGAGGCAGCTACGTGTTCTGGAGCTTGAAGCAAAGAGTCCTCTCTAGTGAGTCTGCTGGTGACTGCTATCTAAACTCATTTAGGACTGCACTGACCCATATTGTTCACAGCTCTCATTTTATCGATACTCTCAAGGGTTTAGCGACGTTGAGAGCTCTGGGTTTCATATCTGCAGATATCACAGTCAACAACGACCTTCTTGACACCAGCCAGAGGCCAGCATATCAGCTCGCAATCATCCAGCGTTGGCTACAGCTAGCACTCAAGTTACTCGTGGCTGCCCTTGCGACCATCGTAGTGACGTTGGCGACGCAACTGCGCGCCAGCTCTGGATTCACCGGTGCATCACTAGTAACTCTCATGTCTTTCGGTGATACCCTGACTACAATCGTTCAGTCGTACACCATGCTAGAAACAAGTATAGGAGCAGTGGCGCGCCTAAAGACGTTTAGCGACACGGTGACTCCAGAGACTGGGCCCGACGAAGACGTCATTCCCAAGGAAAGCTGGCCTGAGAAGGGAGCAATCGAGATCAAAGGAGTTTCAGCGTCTTACGGAGTCTCCAGGGATCAGCCCAACTCAGTGGGCGAGGAGAAGCCGCCTGCGGATCTTGCCATCCGAGATCTGCACCTCTCAATCAGACCCGGCGAGAGGGTAGCTATATGCGGAAGAACAGGCAGCGGCAAATCATCGCTCATCCTCTTGCTGCTTCGTCTCATCGAGACTCTACCTGGGAGTGCGGGTAGCATTGTGATGGACTCCGTGCCTCTCGGCAAAGTCGATCGAGATACTTTGCGGCGCCGCATCATAGCCGTCTCACAGGACGCAATCTTCCTCCCCGACGGCTCATCAGTAAAAGATAACCTCGACCCGTTTGATGCGGCGACCGAGGCTGAGTGTCTCGAGGTCTTGGAGCAAGTAGGATTACTCGCGGGGATACAGGAGCGAGGCGGGATAGGTGCCGGACTCACCGCGGAGTCTTTCAGCCAGGGGCAGAAGCAGCTGTTTTGTCTGGCTCGGGCGGTCTTACGGAGGCGGGTGAAGAGCCGTGGCGGTACCGAAGGGGGTATACTATTGCTTGATGAGGTTTCTTCTAGTGTTGATCGGGCCACGGACTTTGTTATGCAGGATATCATTCGCAGGGAGTTTGAGGGTTATACGATTATCATGGTGTCTCATCGCCTGGATATGGTTTTGGACTGTGATGCGGTCGTGGTCATGGATAAAGGCAGTGTTGTTGAGAAAGGGGCACCGCGAGTGTTGAAGGATCAGGAAGGGGGCATGTTTAGGGAGTTGTGGAATAGTAGCGGGACAACGGGGGAGTAATAGATGTTATTAGTTAAAACATTGAGCTTGACATAGAAAAGGGTGATGATGAGGGGTTGATGAGGAGAAGTCAAATTTAGATTGATCGAGTTTCTTGCAGCGAGAATTGATGTCCTGGAAAGATGTCGAATAGCAGTATCTGATATTAGATGTCCACCTTATACTTGATCAAATTCTAACTAATACATCCTTCAAGAGTAACTGGATAAAACCAGTCAACCGGAACTTATGCCCGTTCCCTTTAGACAAGTAGCAGATTCTCGTATTAATGTAAGTCAGCAAAATGTTCGCCGAGCCTTATACCAAGTTCGAATGAGACTTGAATAGCACTTTTTTTGCCTTCTTCCATGCCCAGAGATAGTCACTGAAGTTGATCCCGACTTCACTCGCCTTTGGTTAATGTATTTCAACGCTTCAGCAGACCGAAGCGTTGTGCCACGATAGCTGAGCTTTGCTATAGTCTCGACACACAGCATTGCATGATACGATTCCCTTGTAGATGCTGCAATGAAGATTACTCCTCTTCCACTAACACAACCCTCAGGAGCACTAAGTCTTCACAATGCCGGACAAGAGCTGACTGGTTTTATCTACTCCTTTATCAATATATCCCCCTCGTTTCTCAGTCTATATGCTAAAGATGCTGACTTCACTGTCTCTCAATGCTCCTTGAGGCCAGCTGAAGACCTTCGCTAATATAGGAAGCGAACGGAACAGTCGTCTTCGCAAAGTGGACGAGCAGAGGCACTTGCGCGCTTGCGTGCCGAGACTTCTTCAATGGAGGTATATAAAGATACCGTGCTTGGTGTACGGCATCGGTGCCTTCCAACCAGAAGTGAGCTGTTTTAACCAGGCTGCAATTGGTCTGATTATGAATGGTGAACACAACAGCTTCGCTTTGAATATTGTTCTTTTGAGATTCATTGCGGGCTCGTATATCACCATCGCCGTGTTCAGTCATTAGACCTCATCCGTCTCCTCATGAGTAATCACAGTAGAATAAGTAAGTAGTAACCACCATCTAGAGACAATAGACATATATTGGAAGGTAGCTTTCTATATTGCAAGGCGTGTACATGAGACGTTCACCGTGGAGCCCAACCCTGATCTTGTTGTCTGAGTTGACACACGAAAGTTCGTCTTGATCAACAAGCAGGACTATTGCTTGCGTCACGTCTAGATTTCAAAACCTTGCGATTTGTCTTGGGCTGATTCGGTAGCCATATGGGTTGCTTTGGTGCAGGAGATCAAACTTGAGGGTGCAACAAGATAAACTCGCAGTTTCCATGGGTATGATTCTACAGAACTCCTGGCAGTCTAAGCAATTAGCATTTTGGGCGGACTTGCTCATTTCAGGGTCAGACATTCTAGACTAATTCCGGCCGTGCACACCACACATGGAGAAACACGAGGCCATTAGATGAACCTTAATTCTATGCAGCGCGCAGCAGCGGACGGAACTTCCGTTATCAAGGTTTGGTCAATTCCCATGAGAGAATCCTACCTGTCACTTTTTCGCGCTCAGGCAATCGGGAAACAATGCTTTGAGGATGCAGAACCAATCAGGAACGCTGTCGAGCGTCGGCTTGTCAGGGCTCTCTCTCTTTACTCTCACATTTTCTGATAACGGCCTGGACAAAGCTTGAGAGTGACAATCAAAAGGGCCAAAACACCTTCTGTGCGTCAGTTCTTTCCAAGATGCCTGGCATACTTACGTATGTACTGCTTCTCCTCGGGGCATCGATATCTAAGCTTGGGCGATCTTGGCAATGTTTTCCGTACGGGGGTTATCCTGATCGTCAAGGACCGCGCCTGAGGTTTGGTGTTTAGCACCGACGTCATGTTTGCGAAAGCCAAAGCACCACTACAGGAAGCGACAATCGCGGGATTTCGCTTCCTTGTTCCCCTTATTTCTTTCTTGTCGTCAATTGTCCAGCATGTTGAGTCAGTGAGATAGGCTGAAAAGCCTGGAAAGAGTTGGAGTCTCTTTGGAGTCAAAGAAGTGATGGGGAGGGCGTGGGAACCATACTGGGCCATTGTGTCGGAATCTCGATTTACCCCAAAGCGATCCCGTGTCAGCCTTCCTAGAGCGGAAGAAGAGCAACCCTCCGGTACGTCATTTGGCGTTTTCCTCTCGAGGATTCGCGCACCCTCCCTCCCCCGGGGCCCGGGGCCCGGAAGGAAGGTAGGGCCTGATAGAAAGAAGAAGAGATGTTCAAGATGGAAAAGGGGGCGAGGCTCTCTCTAACTTCTCGGCCGGCGCGACCGGCGTCGGGTACGATAGCGCGGGCCAGCCGGGCATCTTGCCGGTGGCAGGGTTCATGTCGGACAGCCTTTTGGAGGGTTGAGTCTCAGTTCCCATTGGAATTTCGGGGGTGGTGGTGAATGTGCCTCCGCGGGGAAACAACTTGCTAGGTAGCCTAGCATGGAGCTGGCGCTTCCGTCTTACGCACATTCCTTCCCTTCCCGCGCGGACGATCATGAAAATCCCCCTTGAACGTCGCGAAAGTTGGGAAGTGTTTGGGAGCGCAAGGCCTCTCGCCCTTACATCAGAGTCTGGGGGAAGAATGGTTGGGGCAGCAGATCGACCGGGCGGCGCAGTTTAGGCGAAGGGAAGGGTTGTTGCACGGATCGACGCCGGCGGGCGGCGGCAACACCATCACGACGCATCTTGACATGGAACGGTCGTTGACTTTCTCTTGGCTTTGGTGGTGGTGGTTGTCGTCGTTGGCATCGGTGTCGGATTGAGGTATCGGATTGAGGGGGGTGTGTTATTTTGGATCAGTCAGGTTACTGTCGTCCCGTTCGTTGTCCAGCAATCTCACTCTCTCCTGTCTCTCAATTGCCCTATTCGGGGAACCGGGTTGGAGGTTCAGATAATTGACGGATGAACCTCCGCCATGCCGGAAAGCAATAGATAGCAACCTTCAAACACTCATTTGGGCGGCATCGAACCCCCGGCCGGGATAGGGTGGCATGGAAAAAAGCAAAGCGGTACGGTGATAACAGCGAAATGCGCCAGCTGTTGCTGCGTCTCTCTGTACGATTCGCTGTAGCGTGTTAGAATGTCACTAGGCGGTGAGCGAGCCGTCACCGACTGCGCCGACGAGGGATGCCGGCAGAGTCGACGTCACATGTCGAACGCCCTGCATGCGCCAGCTGCCCATTCGCCCGCCAGGCGTTTGCCAGCCCGCGAACGCGCTTCGGCAGCGAACGTGAAGGACGTGAAGGAGGTGATGGACCCGGAATCGGAGCTTGTTCCCTACACGCCCCGAGGTCTTTTGGTGGCCCTGCACGTCCAGTGAGTCTTGCCTGAGGCAAGAGTGCGTCACCATGAATTGAGTAAGCGACCAATCAGAGACTGACGATAACGGCGCAAACATCACAGCCAATGAACGATGAGGACCCTGCATCGATTGATTGATGACAGGGATATCGAAGCATGGCATGCAGCAAGGATGCCATTTTGGGGAAAGCGCGTCTGTGCTCTTTCTTGCAAAAAAGTGGTTCGTTATCTCGATTCGCTCCTGCCCTCTTCCTTGCAAGACTCAGTACGTACCACAGTCTAACCACCACAGGCTCAGTCAGCCTCCCAGCGAAACGGTTCAACTCTCTCTCTCTCTGCGTGTCAACTTTGTCACTTTGTCTCTTTGTGGCCCGACTCGAACGACCTCTCGTAGATTTGCATGGCCTTTCTTTCGCTCTGCCTCTACGAAATCGCCCCCCCCCTCCCCCAGACGAAAGAAAAGGCCTCAGAATTCACATCTTACGACTGCCATCGACGGCTTGGCTGTCCGCCCTCCTGGGCGTGAGGATCACTGCCGATGCGACTCCAATCCAAAACTCACCGACAATCCACAACGCCCATAGCCGGTCCCATCCCCTCGGATAGCCTCACCTGATTCTGTTATCGATGAAACCAACGATGCCCTTGGAGCTTCCTGCTTGACATATCTCCGGTTGATCAAGCCCCCTGCTTTTTCAAAAGGACCCTCTGGAGAGAGATGAGGCTCGTTTAACAACGACATGTCTCATTTGAACCTCAATCCGGGGAAGACCACGTCGCTTACACGCGAGCCATTCACCTGTAGGGATCATCTCTGATGGCGGCGAAACGGCTGCCCTGGGATCCTGGACTATCTCGTCCCGGCCACTGACCGTGCCATCGGGCAAAGGGGTAACGGACAGCCACCGGGCAGCGACAAGTCTCATAGAGAATTCCTTCTTTTCCCTTCTTAACTCTGTATCTACGGATATCTACCCCAACATTCCAAGCCTATCGCTTGCTTTGCTGTTAGGGTATCCACCATTACCTGTAAAAAGCCTATCGAATCTTGATGTTGCCGGCCGCGAACAGGACTGAATTGGCAGTGGATTGACTCAGTCGCCCTATTATCTTACAGGGATAAACAAGTACTCAGCAACTGAAATGTCGGTGTCTCTCTTTTTCTGCCGTTGGGCGGCGGCGTCGTCGTCGTCGTCGTCGGCCTCGTGGTCCCACGGAAATAAGTGGTGCAGGTTTGACAGAGAGCGCATTCTGGTCTTTGTCGTTCGCGTCTCATATCCTCCGCTCTGTCAGCAATGCAACCGCGGTCCCGTCTTGGAGCGTTTCGCCTCCCCGTCAAAGGCATGGTTGGTTTGTCGGTGCCGGCATTGAGCCTCGGCCGGACGTTGCTGTCAGAAGAGGAAGACGCCCGAAGCCAACAGCCAAAAAACCGCCGAGGTGCAGTGGACGGACGGGAGAGTGAGAGGCTGTGGAGTCGGCCAGATTCCGGGGACTCTTCACGTCTCCTGCGTCCTAGCGCTCGGCGACAGCGAACGAACAGACTGGCGTCGCGAGGCTGTGGCAAAGAAGAAGGGGAAGAGGGGTGGCCAGCGGGAGCTGGAGCTGGAGCTGCATTGGCTTCCCCCATTGCCAATGCTGCGCAGCGGTTTTGCCTGCTGGGATCCCCGCCACACTTGCACAGAGTACCGCGGCCCTATCCACAGCTCGGGCGAGGCGGCAGGCCCTTCAGCCTGTGGTTTTGATGGTAATATCTCTCAGCACCACAGAAATTCGACCGCAAACGTTGGAGCGCCGTCTTGGGCGGGCCCTCAGAGCAACCTATTTGCAAATGCCAAGCTAAAGCGGTTCCGTAACGGCCACAGTCTCCAGGCTTCTGGGTGTGTTCTGGAGCAGAGCATCGTGGGATTGAGAGTGGAAGAGCTCCACTCGACCGGTTCTCTTGCTGAAGTTTCTGGATCCTCTTCCTGCACAGTGTTCTCAATTCGGCCCAGTTGCCCATCTGGCCTCTGCTTCAAAGAAAGCTTCGCTTCGCGTTGCTTTGGGTACCCGTACGGAGTACGCTGCACGGATCCAGATACAGATACTGGGCCCATTGACCCCTCAATCTCCATTAGAGTGTGGCATCTCGCTGCTGAAGCTCCGGGGCTTCCTCGCAGACATGAGGCGCGGTGGGGTGTCGACGTCGACCTCTGTCGATTTCTCTCACTTGTCAAGTTTTCGGAGCAGATCTTTCATCTGTGGCTGGATTGGGTTTTACTCGTCCAGGAATTGATGGACATTGGCCGAAATCAACGAGAATCGGAGGTTGCACTGCCTGCGTCATATTCAGTGGTTGGAATGACTCGGATTTGGAGACAACTTCTCCACGGACCCTTACAGCACTGCGAGTTATTCCAGAGGACGGAGTACATCTCGGAGTCTTTGCGAACGTTGGAGGAGTGAGTTCAGGCCACGAAACAACGGGTGGCCAATGAGACAAACTCCCGTCCCTCTCTCACTCGGCCGACACGCCAGATCGGCCTGATGGGCCACTAGAAATCCGAACCATAGCGAACCTGACGTATTGGGTTGGAGATTGATTGATTTGTGGCCCCGGAAGAAGCAGCGCTCGAAGGCAGAGCCTGTCGAGATCATCATCTGAGCAAGAGGCTTGAGCAGGACATTCGAGGGTTCGTCATCAAGATGCAGCTACTTGCGACTTTGCGACTTACGGACAAGTTTGGCATGGCTTGTCACTCAAGTCTCAACGGCATCCTGTCCTGTCACCTTGCAAGCGTTGGACGGCGGTCGGGAGCCACAAAGCTGGCGGCGGATTGCAGCGACAACACAAACGCGACTGACTGTCAGACTCTCCCATGTGGTTGATCACCTCCGCAAATAGCACACCGACGTTGTGCCACACACCCTGCAGCAACCCCGTTGGCAACTGACAGGACGCTTGCTGTGGTTGCTTCAGCTCCAAGACAGCCAGACGACACATCGCCTTCAGCCCGGCAATGTGGACGGTGCACCCATCATCACGGAGGCTGAAGCATGGTAATTTCAGAAGTGGTGTTGGAGGCTGGAGCGCAGCCACCTTCACCCACAAGCTATAACCCACTGTTTGAATGACGGACACTGTCAACCGTGCCAACCACGCGAACAACAAGCAACGAGCCTCGACTGGGGAGGCTGGAGATCGGAGAAGAGGTAGCGAGTCACGGCGATTGGAAATGAACAGCGTTCGTCTGGTCCAGTCGACCAGTGCCAATGGAGGATGAATCCCCACAATGTGGAGAGGGCGAGAGAAACAGACAGACCCCGGCTAGATGGCCGAAAGCAGCAATTGAGCAGATGAGCGGTGGGTTTTGGCGCCTTTCCCTATGGTTCAGACTTCAGAATTTCCCCCCGCATCTGCCACGCAGTAAAAGAAAGACAAGAGCAACTCCAGGCGGTACGCTTCGCAGCGGTCTAGCAATACTCGCACCTATGGCCCAGGCCAAGTTCATGCCTCGTGAGCTGATTCATTAGACAACCAAGCAACTCAAGCAGCAGGGATAGCGTTTGCATGCCGCATCAGGTTCGAGTTCGAGACAATTCCAAGAGTCGAGAGTAGTCGAAATGCAACTCTCGTTGCTGGGCCTGGGTCTGGTTTCTGGGTCACGGCCGACTAACATGCAGCAAGTCTGACCTGCCTGTCATCACCAAGAGGGGCACTCAGACCAGGCGTTCCGACGTCGCACAGGACGATTGGGTCCCGCCTATCGCGGTGCACACGCATAAGGTATTCTGCAGGATGGACGTCTGGAGTCCTGGACGGATGAATGGATGCGCGCACGCATCCACGCATCGGGTGGGGAGGGGAGGGGAGGGGAGGAGGCAGATCGCCGCCAAAGAAGGACTCCTGTCGGGATGGGAATACCCTCAGCAGCACAACCAGCATCAACCTGCTCATTACACCAAAGCTACCGGACACAAGCAAATTACTACACAGTGAATGAATGCAGCCGCAAGGACATCTCCGGACAGCACTATGCCTACTCATAAACAGATATGACAGTTCGACATTTTGCGTACGTACAAGCAATCACAAGATCAAGAGCTCCATGTCCCTGTGAATTCTCGGTTCATTGCCCCCTGCTTCATGCTGGGCGAGCGGCGAGCCGCTCCATCCATGGAAGAAGTGGAGGAAGGATCCCCGAATCCCGATATGCGTTGACGAGCCCGCCTTAGTCGATGCGAGCGAGAGAGCGATACGAGCGGCAGCCGGCAAAAAAACAAAGGCGCTCACCAGAGTCCAGATCGGTCTCTGTCCGACGGCCCCTGTCAATGTGTATTTCGGGCCACGGCGGTGACGATGCAGCAACCGCAGCGTGGAAGAGGAGCCGCATCGTGAAGCGGCAATAAACATGAACCTTCTTGGACCAACCCAAGAGCAGCTATTACGTTGAGCAAATTTAACTTGCCCACCCTTCGTGTAGGTTGTCGCCGTCGTCACCTAGGCTCTAGCTGTCGGCACTTACAAGCGGACGCCAAAAACGGTCATCGTCTAGAGAGAGAGAGAGAGAGACAGAGAGAGCCAAGGCGATATTGCGGTCTTTCTCCGGAGTGTCAAAAATGGCTGGACAACTGGAGCAGTTCGTAACTTCGTACCAGCCAGGCAATAAAGTGACGAGGCGGGAGGGCGACGTCAAGTGGGGTTTTGGAGGGCCATCGTGTCTCAAAGGTTCACCCCGACAGCTTTCTCGCCCACCGCTAATTTACGAGCTACAGGCGCTACAGAAGCATTATTGCTTTTTTCTCTATCCTGTGTTTTATTTTATTTTCTTTGTTTTTTTCTGCTCGCCTGCTCGTCTTCGAAACCCTTGGAACTAGGTAACCTGGTCACTTACTTAGGAAGCTGGGGCAGTTGAAGCCCGTGATCTCGAATGACACGAGCTTGGCCGTCTAGAAGCTCTGCAAAAGAGCCAAGAGTCCCTACGAACTAAACCTTAGAGGAAGGTACAGAGGCCGTTTGTAAGGATAGGTTCGGTATCCCAGGGGCGTTAGCGGCGGCTTGACTGCGGCAAGAAGAAGGAGACTGAGTTGAAGACACGCGAGCAGCCCCGTTGGTCAAGGAGGTTCCCAGCGATCTTCATTCAACGACGTGGGCAGCGCGGGCTAGCGGCGTGGGCCGGGGCATTCGCCTTACGTACAGAATAGCCGCTTCAATTTCAGGGTCCTTTTGGCTTCTGGAAGATTGTAAGCAAAGCTGAAGCAGCGTCGGACCTTGCTTCTCGACTGGGCATGGGGGGTTAATGGTCACGGACGAGACGAGACGAAGGGAACAATAAGCCGGAGCAGCGCACGGAAGATGAAGCGAGCAGCAGAGACAATGCCGGGGGCCGTGCTGAAAATGGAGCGAAGAAAGAGGGCGAGCCTCGAGGAGGAGGAGGAGGATTGGAGGAGGCTAGGGGAGGAAAGGAGAGGAACCCGCGGGAGGCTTGGAGGGCACTTTCGGAGGAGGGAGTTTCGACTTTCGAGCCACTGTGGAAACATATTCTTCCAGGACCAGAGCCAGAGCCAGAGAGCCAGAGGCACGGGAGGCTATCCGTTCTGCAGTGGCAGTTGGGACGAGACGAGGACTTGGTGGCCCCCGGGGTATCGTCCTGAGTTGGACAAGGGTTCGGACCTCTCTACAGCCAACCACAACCCGGGTAGAAGACCGCTGCCCACCCGGCGACAGGACCAGGGCGGTGGCTAAACCGCTTCCAGGCTAGAGGACGCTTGGCCTACTTTGGCTCTGGGCCTCTTTTTGGCTGTGGCTCTGGCTCTTGTAGCGGTCTTTTCTTGGGAAGGGCCTTCCGGGGGAGGTGGACCACGGCGCGGAATTGGGAGGGGGGAGAGTCTGAAGAGTGAGAGAGAGGGTGAAGTGAGGACGGGGATTCCTTGCAGCGCGAAAGGGCGGTCGCCGCCGTCGCCGCCGCCGCTGCGATGATCGTGGCCGCCGCCTTTGCGCCTCACGTATCCGCGGTCCCAGGGTTGTCGTACCGCGCTCCCTTGACTTACTACTAACCAAGTGGTGGTGTGTGGCCTGAGCTGCTCTCGCCGCGGCTTTTTTGAAGTTTCCCACGGGGACTGTAGTGACCATATAGGTTTACAGTATGCTGCTTTGGTCGCGATATTGTTTTGGCTTGAAGGTTGTATGTATGTGCTGGAGTTGAAGAAAACTTTAAACTCAGCAACGTGTGGATGTAAGTTGGTAGCGAAACCAGAGAAACGGCGAGGCAAAGCGTTGTGGGCAGAAGAAAGTGACGATGGGCCACCTTTGAAGGAGAGAGTACGGTACCGGCGGTATGCACAGAGGAAAGGAAAGCCATGCCGAGAGAAGATACAGAGAGAGAGGCAGAGGGTGTGTGTCTTGTTTACTACTGCTTTCAAGTCTCACGCCCACCATACGTCTCTTAAAGCAGATAGGTACGGATAGAGAGCGAGAGAGACGACGAGAATGAGAGAGAGAAAGCAGAGAGTGAGAGGGTGGATGAGAGACACGCCCCCCTTCTCATTCCTCACTCTCTTTCCTGTCTGTACCGTCGTCTACTAACTGCGTATGGTCTGGCACTGGAGGAGAGGAAGAGGGCGGGCAACTCCCTCCGCCAATTGCCGCAGGAATAAATCTAATAGGGAACCCGCTCCCGCATCCCCCCCCCTTCCCTATTCCACCCACCGCCCATAAGATAGTGTACGTACTCTCCTACAGCGCACCCCCCTCCATCCGACTGAATCGCCCTCAAGGCTACTGGGCCTCTCATCCTCACGCCCCCCCTCATTCCGCACCCCCGAGTCTCGTCCCATCCATTTAGACCCCAAGCATCCCGCCCAAACTACTTCACCAATCCGCTCCCCTCCATCGCAACGCACGCATCTTTATCTTGCTGCGATTGCCTACTCACTCACCACTCCCGATCAGGTCATCTTCACCTCACTTACACCTCACATTCACAAGCAAATACAAAAAGTACGACCTCGTTTGGTGGCACAGCGCATCCTTATCTCTACAACGAAAACCACTGTCCAACACAACCACAACTATACCCATACCTCTACTATCCTCTTGGGCACCGCTTCGATCTGCGGTTCACGCCAGGTTTAATACCAAGCATTCCCGAACAAACGCGACGCCAACAACCTCGTCCCGCTCCTTTTTTCTAATCACCAACCACTTCGCCGCAACAACTATTCGTTGCTTTTCATCATCGATTCTCACGAGAAATCAACCACGCGCCCTTTCGACTTCCAGCAATCGAGCGCCTTGAACACCTAGGACGCCCTGCATCCTTCACCGTCGAGCTTCACTTACACCACCAATTCCTATAAACCAACCTCACCTCGATTTCGACACAATGGCAACCGACCTCATAATGCCTACCCTCGCCGAGCAGCGCGGCCCCTCCTTCTACCCTCAGGATCGCCCTCACTTCACACACACTCGATCCCACTCCTTCCAAACAGTACCGCAACCGCAGCCCTTTCGCAACCGCACATCACCCTTGAGCACTCCTCACGAAGGCTCTCCCACCTCGCCCAAGTCGTGCCTCACCGAGTCGGTTCGCCCCGTTTACGTGCCCGCAGTCCTCCGCCCAAATCAGCATCACTCCAAGAAGCCGCGCGCTCCCAAGGTTGAGGACCTCGACGGCGAGGATTTGCTCTGCTTGCGCCGCGCCAACAGCAGCTTCATCAGCCTCCCTGGCTTCAGCGTTCTCGGAGCCAAGCTGTCGCGCCGCTCTACCGGTGACAGTGGCAAGGTTATTGACCTCGAGCTGGACCCTGAGCTCTTCCCTGACGTCGCTGGCGAACCCACTCGCAAGCACTGGAAGGTATGTTGGATCTATCACAACAATCTCGCCCATTTGCCTTGAAGTATATAACTAACAAAATTCCAACAGCCCGACTCCGAGTCCATCATGTGCGACGACCCAACTTGCAAGCGCAAGTTCAACGCCCTGAACCGTCGCCATCACTGCCGCCGCTGTGGCAACATCTTTTGCGGCACCCACTCTGGCGAAGCCATCCCTCTGGACG